TCGAACGAGAGTTCGGAGCACTTTGAGTGGTATTGTGCGCCTTGAAACCTGCGAGACGTCGCTTTTTCTTGCCCAGACGAGTCCGATGCTCCCGCGGTCTTCAGCGTAAGAGCACAGATGCATAGTGGTCTCCTCGTACGAGCGTTATTACAACTACACCGTCCGTGAGCCAGCAAGCGCATTCAGGAGAAGTCACTCATGCAGCCAAAAGTAGACGCACAATCAAGGGGTTGCACAACCGTTCTCTTCAGTCGAACTGGATCATTCAGGAAGGCAGGGAGGAGAGAGGCGAATTCACTGAGAAGCGCGTCTCACATCGGTCGTAGTTCTCGGGCCGCGGCCCCCGCCGCCGCCGTTTGGCTTTCAGCTTCTCGACGGCGCCCTTGGTCGGTGCCAGACCGGGGATGACCAGAGGGGCGTCGCTCTGTTAGAGGGAGGCGGAGAACGTCAATAAGTGGGAGAAGCAACTTCCCCACTGCATTTCAGCTTAAATGGATGGGAGTTTCTTGCACACGCTCTATTAGAGGGAGGCGAAACTTTATAGTTGAAAAGCACAACTTCGCCCTCCAATATGTCTGACTTGGTGGGAGGTCTTCGCACGTTCTGTGGTTTTTCGCGACCGCTCCGCGAGTCTCAGAAAGGAACAGTGCAGGAACAGTGATTGGTCTCCGTGGGCTGAAGAGAAGATTCGCTGTCGTGTGTTTGGCACTAGAAGGGACTTCTTAGATATCAACTCAGTTGCTGATGGCCGAAACTCGTGTCGAGATGGGCGCAGGTGCATTCTAGAAGGTCCACTTTTAGGTATCCAGGTATTCTTTCTGGTTGATCGTTTCCACAGGTTTTATCCTTGACAAAACAAACGGTGGTTGATGAGTATTTCCAGCCCTTGTCAGATCAATCCGGTACCTAGTCATGCATAAGATGGAGTTTACGAATGTGAACAGCTCATCTTGACGTCGATGGCCATCACTTTGCAGAAAAACCATTTCTTACGTCTACAACGGAGTCCTTATCCAAAATAGCGCGACCTCTCGAAGCCTCATCTGGCTCACCATCTCTCTTCACCTTGTGAAAGTGCGAGACAAGTGCGAAAGATCGAAGCAAAGCGTCCAGAGAGCTTCAGCTTACCTCTACGTTCAGCTCGTTGCTGACGTGGACTTCGTACTCCTGCAAAACAATACCACGTCAGAATTGGTCGTCTTCGTCTGCGCTGATACTGTTTCTTGAGGCCGTTCGATGGCTGCGTTTGGTCATCAAACTGCCCAGAATCTGCATCCCCCAAGTCTGGAATCAGACTCGGTTCAACTACAACTCTTACTTTCATTTTGGAGGGCTTATTGAGTACTCGAGCAGGCAACTTTGACAAGATGCGCGACACAAAAATGGGCGGCCACTGTTTATTACACTGCGCATCTGCAGAACCCAAAGTACAAGGCAACACGTGCATGGAACTCCATAGAACCTGCTAACAGCGCTTACACTTGGCTGTGCGAGGGACGCACTTTCGATTGCAGTATGCTTCCAGGCTGCCGGTCCTGCGATCTGCCCGCCTTAATCACGAAAACGTTGAATAGACACCCCTCACAGGCTGGCTATGCGACATGATCCCATCGCCTGCAAACTTAGTTTTTTCTTCCTTTCTTTCCCGCCGAAAAGCTAGCAGTATTGGTCTATTCAAGACCCAGGTGACGCACAGAGTCAAGAAAAAGAGGGGGAGGTTGGACCACGAAACCAGTTAAAAGAATGTTTTCTTGTATGTATGTGGAGTCTGCCTCGGGATCTCACCTCCTCTGGTACCCAGCAGCGACAGATGAAACACTTCTTCTGTCCCTCGGGCCCGTTCCTCTTCACTCCCTTCTTCCCGCCCTCTCCCCCCTCCTGGCTGCCCTCCCCCTTCCCCTTCCCCCCTTCCTTTTCCTCCCCCCCTTCTTGCCCCTCCTTTTCGATTTCCCCTTTCTCCTCCCCCGTACCCCTTTGTGCTTTAGGCTCTTGCTCTCGTTCCTCGTCTTGTGTCGCAGCCCCCTCTTGACCCCCGTTTCTGACCCTTTCTTCCTCCGCTCTGCGCGCCTTCTCGCTCAACTCCCTCTGCGCTCGCTCCGCGGCGCTCCGCATGAGCGACTCTATGTCCGGAGTGACCGCCCGCTCGGCGCCCCCCGGTGTCCCGCTTAACCCACCCCCAAACCCTCCTTTGACTGAAAAGGGGCTTCTCCGGATGCTCGGTCTGGAGTTTGTGAAGGTCCTGCCGGTCGCAACAGGAGGGATCCCCCGGGCATTGTTGGGTCGGGAAGGCCCCGCAACGGGGGGCGTGGTTTCCTCAGGGGAACCAGACGGGGGGCCCGGAGATGGCATGTCGAGGTCTTCCATCAACTCAAACTCTTTTGCCATGTGGTCCTGCTCAGCAATAATCATTCTTCTTCTGTTGGCCAAAATCAAGATATGCAGCTAATTGAAAGAATAAGCACGCTGTGATCGTACACAGAAAGCTGTATATGCCTTCTTTGTTTTCCTATGAACTTGTGTCCTATCGATTACTTTGTAATTTGCAGGCAAAACTTTCATATGCTGCAGCTTGAAAACTTCATGCAGCAGGAGGAGTTTTTGTGAATTCATTTTGTAACAGCGGTGGTGATGAAGGCAGATTCTCAGCCGACTCCTCAAAGGGACACCCCGTACCTATCCCTTTGTAGGACAGTCCAGGTTAGTTAAGACGTACAGTTTTATTCTCTGATTTCCTGTTTCACAGGGGGGGGAGTTACAGGCCAGAAGTCCACATTCACCATCCAGTTGTTCTGACAGTAAATTGTGCCCTCTTTGTAGATTTCACTCGTTCACAGCAGACAGTGATCTAAACCTTCATGGAACAATCCTTTTGAGAATAATCCATGGGGCCAAATTCTGACTTTGCAGAAGCAAGCCCCATAAAGTGAGGTCGAACCGAGCAGCTAACTGGGCTTACTATTGAAGGGTAGAAGCGAAGAATATCACTCAAATCATTCAAAGCATTGGATAGACTATCACAGAGAAGTCAAACGACTGATAAGTACAAAATCTTCCTAGTGGCACAGACATCCGTATAGCTGGAGAGCTCAGCTCCCCACCTCTTTCTCCGCTTCAGATGGGAAAGCCTCGCCGCACACGGGACACCGGTACTCCTGTGCTGCCTTACTGATCTTGCGAGGTTCAGGAAGTTTTGGGGACATGTTCTGCAAGGCCGAGAAGGAGGACAGAAAGTCAGGGAGAAACATGTTAACCTGAGCAGATGTCTCATAACCTCAATCTTGTGTCCTTGTGAGGTCAGAAACTCTTGGGGAGATCTTCTGCAAGGCTAAAAAGGAGGTCAGAAGCACAGGAATAAACGTGCGGACCTTGAGTAGATGTTTATTGCCTCAATCTTGAGTCCCTTTGGGGTTCTCTGGTCATCTAGAAATGCTTTGATTCATGAGGTGATCAACACGAGGGTAAATTGACAAAGAACAAAGTCACTGGAGGGCAGGAAGACTCAGACGCAGGTTGCGGGCCTCTGCTGACTGTACCTCACTCGATTCACTTACACCGGTTGCAGGCAGAGGGCAGCTGCCAGCGAGTTGGCAAACCTTATGCGTTATCAATTCATGAATCGGCAGCACACTCATAAAATATTGAATTTACAAATCACAAGAACACTTTTACTTGCATTGGAATAGGGTCCGACTTCAACATAGCGCTTGCGGAGTAGACAACACACTTTCACAGCACTTTGCTGCAATGCCTACTGGATTGATTCTCTCATTGCATCAGCGCTGAGCTCATTCAGCCAATGCTTGAGCAAAACAAGGGGAAAGATTGCTGACCGCTGCACCCGCGTGTTCTGCTTTGCGCCCCGCCAGCAACTGAAGGAGGGAGCTCGACATCTGGCCCTGTCTAGTTGGCGGCCCTGCATTTGCTGCTTTGTCTGTGTCGGTCCTACAAGCAGGTTTTACAGGATGCCACATCTCTGGGCGAGCAAAGAAGCCCTCTATCGACTGATGCCGCCCCGGCCGGCTGCCCTTGCTGGAGCGCCCCATTGGCTGAACCACCTGTGTGCCTGCAGAAGGGGTGACTTGATTGTCGTGAGCGCTTTCTCCCCTGGAAAAGTGCGTTCAGCTACCTTTAAGATTGTCAGCGGAACCTGAGTACCTAATGCGCCGTTCAGGGAATTGGCGTTTAACAATGGAATTCACTTGGGACGCGATGTGGTGCGAAATCTCAATGGCCAATGCCAATGGCCATTGCAATTGCCAATTGGCATCAGCTGTGCTGGAGCCTGTACGGTTTGTACCAACCGGTACCGGTACCGTAGCTGTAGCTGTACGGTAAGTCTACCTAGGTAGTCGGGGTCAGCTTGTTTTGGGGACGCGTCTGTTCAAACGTTTCCCGCCAGATCAAATCTAGCACGCCCTGCCAACCGTCCGTCAGGCTTCATTCACGTGATTGGACGGTGTCGATTGCGACTTGGTCAACGGGGATCCCTACAAAGCAGTACCGAGGTACATTTCAAAAGGAGAGAAGGTTTACTGTTTTGGCTGATTTTTTGCGACGGGTACCCCAACGCGGCTCCCTGGGCGAATATAACGAGTGCACTCTCCGGGTCGTATGAGGAGTCGGGGCGGCTGAGCAGGTCATCTACGGTCAAATACTAATCAAATTACGCATCGACGGCTTCAAGAGCACCGTAGGATGCCCTCGTTTTGTCCTAATTCAGAACCCTAATCTGGCTGGTAAGGCATCGCTGCAACCCTAATCAGAGCCAGCTGAACCACCTGAGGCCCATCATACGAGCTTCGCAGGCCTTCGTATAGGTTGGCAGGACCCAGAAGGGGGGTTTCAACCAATTTGAGGTCGTTGAATTGGGTTAGATTGCCATACGACGTCTGGATGTTGACGTTATCGAGTTTTGCCCTCAAACAAATTTGGAAGGAGGGTAATCTGGCGGGCGTCATAATCCCTCAGCGGTTGCGATTGGCCCCCCGACCCAAGGTTCGATGGAAAGCTTGGGTCATGGAGAAGGTGTTTAGAGCCTAACATCGACGTCGAAGTCAATCTGGCAACCACGAGGGCACAATCAAGCTAACAATGGTAAAAAACTGCCCTGCAAAAATAACCCGTTTTTGGCCACAACCAAAGCTGCTAAAGTCCAACCGGGCACTTCGACGAAAATCTGAGAAGGTCGTCACCTCGGGGGTACCTTTGGTCAAAAGTGATGCAAATCTGGGGTTCATTTGGCCGTCGGAGGGTCACCTTATGAAGGCCGCCCGATTGCCTGTTTTAGTGAAACGGCTCAGCAGACTTCACCGACCCATAGCCATTGCTCAGGTGGTTGTTCTGACTAGGAGAGGCGTTTGGCAGGTCCCCATGGGACCCCTAAAGAGCCCATGATTCGGGTCGGGGTCAGAAATAAGTACTGACCGGTGCAAATCTACCCGCCAACTTCAGTCCCAGGGAGCAGAAAGTGTGACCAGGGCTACCTTTCGATACATCTGCTTGTATGCACACGCAGCCCCTTCGATTTGGTAAAGTCCGATTACAGCATTGAAAAGCTGACAGAAAGAAGATGGATTTTGACTGCTAGAGGGCGGACAAGGAGAATGGTTCTTTTCGGGACCCTGAGCCCGGGGGCTGTTGGAAGGTGCCTTTCCTGACGTGTGAAGCTTGACCAGAGCTCCACGTGCAGATGGCAAGATTGTAACCATCCGATGAATATGTGCCAAGCATCGAACGGTGTGCATTTGCTCGTCTGCCCTCATGGTTCTGGGTCAGACTTCGGGTTTGGCTACTGCAACTTCATTTTGAACTCGGAGAGGATCCACTGGGGCAATGCATCTTGGAAAGTGTTATAGAAAACACAACTTTTTAAGCCCGGACGGTTTGACACACGAGATCTACATATCCCGGTAACTGTGACCCCAAGTCACTAAAGGCACCTTCCAACAGCCCCCGGGCTCAGGGTTACCAAAAGAATCATTCTCCTTGTCCCACCTCATCAACATCATTGGCAAAAAGACAATGACTCGGCAAGTTGCGTGTGCTTGTGCTTGTGCTTGGTGAGAGCTTGTCAACTTTGCAGCACTCAATCTAGGTTTATGTAATGAATGTATAGGGTGGTAAGCACTGTGTGCTGCCAGCCAGGCAGGCTGCATATCACTGTATAGTCGTTGTCGCAGTTCGTGTGTTGACCACATTGGATCTCAATGGTTTACAGGCTCAGCTATGTGTATACGTACGTGAATTCAATAGTATGTTTTGGCGGCATATCTATCTGGTATGCGCTGCATGCTTCCCTTAGTACATGTATGCATGAACCATGATTTAAGATATGGGCAATGATCATTCGATGCAGCTTGCAGCATCATGGTAACGGTCACTTTATTCTCGGCCATGCAACCCTAAGTTTATATTGAGGCTACGAAATTTGTTGAGTTTTTGCTTTATAGCGCAGCTTCATGGTGCACAACATGCAAACACCTTTAGATGCGAATGAGTACGTACTACGATGCACGCTGCAAGCTTGCGCGCGCGCCATCATGACGGCGCATGGTCAATTTCTCTTTTCCAATCATTGAAGGGCTAGCTGAAAGCAGGCCCTAAAGTCGTATCACGTAAGCTGTGTAGCTCTGCCAGCAGTAACAGAAAGCCCGGACCATTATACTCATGTCATGCCATAAACAATGTCCTCCGTATGGCCAATGGATTCCAAGGGCACGTCAATTCAACGTTTCAACCAATTCAGGACTCCGTGGTCTATGCTCGGCTTGCACTGGCTTGCACTGTCCAGCATTATGGACGCAAAGCGCCTTTATGAATCTTTCCAACTCCTTATCGTTGAAAACATTACCTATTGCTCATACGAATCTATATCCGCTCTCTCAAGGCAATTGCCATATCTTCATAGACCGCCGCTTATCTATCTTCAGCTTACAGCGTCTCCTTCAGAGATCCTTATTACCGGTTCAAAAATGGCCGTCAGTGGCGCATGGTCACTGAGCGTATAGTCGCTCGGCCACCGCGCCTCCTCAAAATCGGACCGGTCAAACGAGGCGTCCCGGACGATAAATTCAAGCCCTTCCGGAGGCAATGTCGTCTCCTCTGGCGGGCCCCGCGGCGAGTTGACTTCCATCATGTATGACGTGTCTCCATCAATGGTCATGGAGGCCTCCATGACTGCCTCAATCTCGCTGACACGTGCCTGCAGGACGGGACGACAGATCAGCCGTTGCCATTGACAACATACCCTTGGTGACAGTAGTTTCACAACTTTTTCGGCCGGAAAGTACTTTCATGAGTTCACCGGTACTGGCAGCCCTGCCGCCAGCTCTCCAACTACATACCGCTTTCAAAAACCTGCCCTTGATAATTGACAGACTCGAACGATAGCTGCACTTTCACGAAACCTCACTGCTGCTTCCTCAACAAAACCTCACAAGCTGCCCTTCAACTTTCAAGAAAGCCGCACGTTCACTTTCTTCCTTACCCAGTGACGCCATCCGCGTCCTTACGCAGCTCGTACACAGACCCGCCAAAGTCCTCGGTCAAGTCACCTTTCAAGCCTTTCAAACTTTACTTTGAAAATCTCAACCAAGTTGCACGTTTCAATCGTCCTCAGCGCCGCTTCCTCGAGACGAGATGACGCCATCGCCGTCTCCGTCCAACCCAAGTTCCTCGGGCGTCGACAACCTTTCTAACCTTCTCCCTCAACGTCAAGACACGTCAAAGACAATCGCAACCTTCCTTACCGCGGCTTCTTCGAATGAGATGACGCCATCCCCGTCCTTATCCAGCCCGTGCGCGATCTCGCGGATCTCCTCGGGCGTCAGCCCGTAGTTGTCCTCGTTGCCGGTGAGCCCCAAGTCGTCGAGCGCGCAGTAGAACTCGTTCATCGTGATGTGGTCGTCGTGCGTGCCGTCCTTGAGGAAGAACTGGAACGCGTCGCGGTCGTGCAGGCCCGCTTCGCGCAGCTTCGACTGGAAAAAGCGAGCAAGACTTCCCTGTGACATTGGGTGAAGCGGGTGCTCCGGAAGGAGGGGAACACTTATGAACCTAATCGCGAAGACTTTAAGGACGGGGGTGTTGAATTTGGTTGGAGCGGGTGGGGGGGAGGGTTGATGGAGAAGAAGGTTGTTGGGTATGACAGTCGCAGTCAAACCGGATGTCTCACGATCGGGTAGAACAATATTGCGCGGCTTCGAATTTGGAAAACGAGAAAGACATGACGAAAGCGTGGATTGACGGGTGGCGGAACGCATGTTGAAGGATCGTGTACGAGTGTTCGAATAGAATTGGACTTTCCAGGATCGAGCCCCGCTTTGCGTAGCTTCAACTGCAGGTATTCAGCGAAAACCGATGCTTTGATTGTTGCAGGTCAGGGGAGAGTTGTTGAAGAAGGAATAACCCAAACTGTTGGTCAACTCAGACGCTTCCCTGTCAGGGCAGGCCGCAGCACGACTTTCCGCAGCCTGGCTTCGGTTTAAATGGGGGGAGATGGTCTCCTTTTGCCAAATGTACGGTTGACCTTCACTCCTGTGATTTTGCCAATGGTCGGTACGCAATCGCTGTGGACGACAACGGAACAATAGAGATTCAAATCTCGCAATCTATCTTGTCCACGACCAGAAGACTGCAGGTTATCTTGTCGCTTTTTTTCGCTCAACCTCAACGGGAAACAAATTCGTCAAGACGCGCTCACCCGGATCATGGCAAACGCGCCGTACTTCCAGTCCGCCTCTAGTTTCTCGCACTGGTTGCTCGGATTGAGCAGGTAAATGAAGTCCACACCCGCCAGATTGCCCCGGTGGTTCTGGTGGCTCACCCACTGCAAGCACGAGTATCGCATGCTGTTCAAAAACTAGGCATGTATGAGAAATCTGAGGAGCACGCTAGATCCCTTCGAAGCCCCAACCGCTTCGGGTGAAGACGGAACGAGGTTCTGCTACAGAAAAGGAACAACGGAACGGAAAAGACGATGGAGGGCAGTCGCCAGTGCTCACTCTGCTAGAGTCGTTGTCGTCGTACTCGTGCACGGCGTCGTATGTGGAGATGCACCCGCGCGAGCGCAGGAACTTGTACACCTGCCCGTGCTTGCTGCCGTTCCAGTCGCTGCGCAGCACGAGTCAGGAACGGAATGATGAGCACAGCGGAACGATGGCCGAACGGAACGTTCAGAAAACGGAAGGAACAGCAAACGGAACACGGAATAACCGGCAATCCGATCGATTAGCAGCGTAACGATGAGCAGTAAGCGAGCAGCTTAGAGATCGGGCAGCCAGAGAGAAAGAGTGTAAGAACGGGTCCCTGACAGGAGGTCAGACCAAGAGATTCTTCTTCCTCCCCATCTGCAACATTCAAGAGGTGTGAAACGGTGTGGTACAGGCTTCTGCTGCACCGCCTACTCGGGCTGGCTACAACATTCGCAGATCCTGAACGAGACGCTAATTTTCAGGGATTGGCCTTTGAACCACCGCATGAACGACCCGGAGCCCTCACCCGCACAAGATGATCGGCATAGGGGGCAGGTTACGTTCCCGCTGGTAGCGCCCTAAGTAATCTACAAGTTTGTACACCTGTGGAGGAAGCGAGGACCGCCACAACGTTACAATGGCCAATTCCGTTCATTCTTCTTCGAAAATGACCCAGGGGCAGCTGATTGGGTACTGCGGCTTCGAGCAATATTCCTGGCAACCAAGTTCATCTGAGCCGTTCGTGCATTTCTTCTGCGACCATCTGTCGGCCCAAGTTGAGCAAGGGGCCAGACGGATTTGAAACAGGCGGCCATGTGTAGTCACAAGCCGCATCCTAACCAGACCAGAAGAACTCTCCGTCTTTGTCGACAATCTTCAACTCGAATCCGATTTCTGATTGCAATGTATTTCCGAAGAAGAAAGGCTTGACATTTTCTGAAATTGGGTCCAAACGTCAAACAATGCATGGTAAGTTTCCTTTGACCTTGGACAGAGTGAAGGAGAGAAGACACCAGCTAAGGGCAGCTCTCTTACGTCTCCTGCATCGAATCCCCTACCGTTGCCTACTCTCCTACATTAAGCATACATTTTTGTTGCGCACAGACCGAAACTTGCAGACGCTTTGACATCCGCACAGCAACTTACCTGACGTAACCTTATGACGCACGCGTTGCCGTTGTGCGGGAACATGAGGTGAGTGTTCACAAGGATTAGCTCCGCCGCATGCTCCGTCCCGCACCAGTCGAACGGCCGTGCCTCGTGGTCGTCGATGCTGCACTTGCTCAGCAGCTCCGTCGCCTGAGAACAGCGGGGATAACAGACTTTGAATGGGCGTGGCGATGCAAGAAACACGCAGCGACATTAGGCTGGAGAAGGCTGGTGTTTTGTCGCCGAAATGGCACCACGTGGTCATGAGCTGATGTCGATCCTTGGCGACCATACTGCTGCTACTATCGGCTCTGTGTCGCTTTCCAGGTCACTCGAATGCGTCCGCCTACACTTTCTTTTTAAAAAGGGGCCGCTTCAGGAGTGTGAATAGACATGAAAGCACGGAAGTTTGCAAAAGTGCTTTATGCTGTCTCGCAAACGTATGACAGCTTCGAAACTGGTGAGCAAGTGAGCGGGCTTGTGCGGAAGGGGAATGGGAGCGAAGACGAGCGAAAGAAAAGCGGGATTTGAGTTGCTTTCGGGGAGTTTGCACAATCTTTCGACTGCTGTGTTTCCAATAACGTGACGGTGAAACTTTGACATTAACTCTGACGAAGCATACAGAGGTCTTGTGCACCTGCCAAAAACCGCGTTCTAAGCGGAGTTTATGAAGGACAAGAAAACCTTCTCAAAGTCTCGTCCAAAAGCAAAGAAGGCTGCAGTGGAACCGCGCAACAACCACGAGACCACGAGATCCATCCCGTACTAACAGCCTTATGGCCTGCAGATGAAAAGATTGAGGTATGCAGTCCCTGCGTCTGGGATTTTTGGTCAATCACCGATAAAGCAGGATCTTCAACGACGCACAAGATAGAAAAACGGGGATCGAGCGCCCTCACCCAGGTCAAAACAGAACCTTTCTATTTCTTTGACCGCAAAAAGAAGAAAGGGATTGCAAGAAGTGACACCCTAACAATGAAAAAATCACCAGAACAGCACCCTTCAACTGGGGATGCAGAAACTCACGCACCCTTTCAACAGAAAAGAAAGAGGAAACACTTCGAAGGCACCTACACCGCAAACATGACGCTCACCTGCAGATGGAAGAGCTGCGCCACGCGGTCCCCACAGTCGTGGAATACAATCTCGCGCATGTCAAGCACCCGCAAGTGGTCGCTTTGGACGGCCGTAAAAAGACCGTCGCCCTTGTCATTGGTGCGCCCCATCTGGAACATTGTGTACCCGGCCGCGCCTAGTTTTGCACGGTACAGCTCGCACAGCTCCTCGTTCTTGTGCCAAAACTCCTGAGCGCAGAGAGTTAGAGAAGATATGTTTGCTTCTTGAAGATGCCGGAAAGTAGTCTCTGTACAGGAGTAGTGGAAAGAGGTGACGGCTGCACGGCTTCGTTTCAGAACCTTGTGTGCAACACTTTGGGCTGAAATGATGACCGAAATGAACGACAATCTTGACAGCAGAGCTACGTTTACTATGCTCCCGGTCAGAGTCTTTCACAATCGATTGTTCCCCAGTCTACTCACAAGTGCAGAAGAGGCATGCTGACCCCCAGCATGCCTTACTTGTATCCCGCAACACTTTTTGCCCAATACCAGTATTACGTGAGTTGCAAGTTCTCAAAGGGTAGGCCTTTTGGGAATGTGCCTTCACCACCCATATTCTTGACCTAAGTTAAGGTCTGTTGCCCGAGCAACAAGAAACACCACCTTTTTGCAGGACCTCATTCTGGCCCCCAACAGTGAAGCTTGAGAAACCAGCACCAACACTCATATCCCCCAACCCCCACATACCTGCAGGCATATGATGGACGACCTCTTGGTCAGCAACAACTCCACAATCTCCTGGTTCCTCTTCTTCCACCTTGCTTGGTCCGCGCTCTCCCTCTCCCCGTCCCCCGACACCCTCTTATAGATGGGGGCCAGAATGTTGAAAGTGGTCACGCTGATGAAATCAGTGCCAGCTTCGAGCGCTTCCTCCCGCCCCGACGGCCCAGCCTCCCTGCCTGCCGCCAGCCGTTCCAAAGTCTCCTTGTCAAATGCTAAGGAGTCCCGCTCCACTTCGGCAACCCTCCCACTCGCACGCACGCTCCCGTTGCCTCCGTTTACGAGGCCCTTCCTCCGGCGGAAGTGCGAGTAATGATGTGTCGGACTTTTTGGCGGGGTCACACTGGTTCTCACTTTCGGCAGGACTACCGAGTAAGAAGCGCTGACTGCGCTGCTGTTTGTGAGAGGAATGATGCCTGTGGAGAACCCAGGGGAAGCCCTTCGGGCGATGTCCATTTCCGTGGCGTCAGAGTTCTTCGGTTGAGTCACCTCCTGCGGAGACTTTAGCTCTATGAGTGGCGGTGCAGTGGCGCTGTTAGAAGAAACCCTAACATCTTCCGGAGAGCTATTGCGACCAATGCCCCTCTCAACATCTGTTTCAAGCTCCCTCAGAGCGTCAGCACTAAGACGCGAGTACTCTGGCCCACCAAGACCACGGAAGTGGCCCCTCGAAAGATGCTCGGGGCAATGCCGGGCGGGGTAGCTTTGAGCAAGCTCGTCGCACGTGCATCTGCTCTCGTGCCTACGCTTCGGGCTGTGCTTTCCGTCGTACAAGGACCCCGATGATAGCAACCGCTTCACATAAGACCTGATGGATTGTTCTGTAGCCATAAACCTCCTGAGCACACCCTCTTGGAGCCCCAGAGCAATGATTCAAGGAACTGATATTTGAAGAGAACTGGTCTCCTCTCTCCTAACCGTCTCAGAAAGCTTCCTTAAGACGACCTAGGACTAAATGAGAAGAGGGCGATGTGTGGTGCCTCATGGGTGGCGCCTTTTCCCCACCTTGGAAACTGCTTGGAAGCAATGCTCAATCTCCTTTGGCAATGCCTATTTTGCACCTACCTACTTTACGCATGACTTATTTGTTCTAACCGGGTTTCTATTTTTCCCCGGTGCTCATCAGCCGGGTCTGCTCGGCATTCGGAACCATCGACTGGACTGCTTTACGTGCCAGGTATGCTGACTCGGCAAGGAGTAGATGAACTGGGAGCAGTTCAATGACGGTTAGCACTTACGCATTAGCACGGTTACATAACCGTATTTTAAATAGTAGGATATTCAACAAATGTCGGAAGGAAAAGTCGTCGGCAGAGAATCGGTTGGCAAGGGTTCCCAAGGGCGCGACGGGATCGCTTCTCGCCAAGCACCGACATGCAGCTGTACGCGTGTTCCAATCGACGATGTTGGACCGGGTCACGTGAACCGAGCCAATCGAATTGGCGCACCCCTTTGACATCCATTGACCAGATTCAGTTACCCGACGGTTAACCTGAGGCTTTCCTTTTAACTAGCTAGGCCCTCGCTATCGTAGCCCCTGTACAAGGCTGGCATGCACTGCCTCACTGGGGCTGGGACATCTTACCGTGCCGAAGCCGGCTTCGGTAACTGCATAACGGAACCAGCCACCTTCACCGGCTATCCTGGATCCCTATGCATGCCTCCCGGGGCTGCCCCTTATTACCCCCGGGCACGACCGGGTTGAGGCCATCCCCTTATGCATGACAACCCATGCATGATGACCCAGCATTGAGCAAGCTCCTTGTTGAAATATCCGGCCGATCTGATTATTGTCAATTTTGTTACCCTGAACACCTTGTGCCTCGTAGCTAAACTTTACTCATGCTCCGGGTTTTCGGCAGTGCGATCTCCTTGTCAGGCATTGAAAACAAATCAAGCCCTTATGAGCGTAGCACTAGGTCAGATATTACATAATTCCATAGGGAATATACAGGAGACTACCGCGATATTTCCGAAGCAGTACTCTCTGCCCGGGCGTGGTTCAAGCCAAGGAAAAGTGGTTCAAGCCTCAAAGACGGAGCTCACGCTCACGAATGCTAGAGGCTAGAGCTGCATGTGGCTGCAGGAGCTGCGCTAAGGTTGCATTCATCATTCATAATTCAGCTCAGCTAAGCTTGGAGAGCAGGACTTCAATCGTAGCTTTCCCGTACGGCATCAATACCTGTTATTACAAAAGTTGCTTGCATTCACGCGCTGTGCCCGAGATCAATGCGCCCCTAAGACATTGTATTAGGGGCTGGCCAATCTGAGAAGCAATTGCACAAGCAGGCCATTGCCAGCAAACAATTGTGGAACGACGTTCTTTTTTACAAGTATAGCTCAATAGCAAGGTGGTGTTGTGATCGCTTTTAGACCTGCTGAAAAGACTGCTGCCCCAAAGCACTGGAGACATGATCCTCTTCGATCAGGAAAGTAGAATACTCAGCGATGCATTAGTGGCACGCTTGAAAGAGTAAGTCCTCTTCAAAACTAATTTGATTGCTCGTCTCGAACTCAACTCCTTCCCCGCATGGGTTGATTGGTTCTGTAGCTCCTCCTTCACTTTCCTAGACCCCTTTCGATAGGAACTTTCAAATATCGTTTACCTCTGCAGAATAAAGGGGAACTCCAGCAGTTTCAAAGCTGGTGGAAGACATCCGTCTCTTGGATTCTGAGAACAGACATGCTTTTTATCATCGGGGCTCGCACGTGAGCAGGAAGGAACAGAGGAGTAAAATCCTGGTGCCTCCCTGCATTCTAGCTGAATGGTGGCAATTAGAAAGTCACGACGTCGAAACCCAGTGTTGAAATGGTTCCACTCACTTGCAGATCAGAGAAGCCAGCCGAAGTGGACAGTCACCTCGTTGAGTTTGACGATGTCCGCTACCATGTACAGGTATGCACACCACCTGACAGCAACCTGCATTAGGATTCCTGGGGCAAGCTGTCCGTCCGCTGGTCCTGAAACAACACGATCACAGCAGCACTTTGCACCACTTGTTTGAACAGTTGCTCGTCCATGATGACTCTCGCCCCTCACTCACAACCTAAGGCCTTAGGTTCAGGTTACCTGCTCTTAGGTTGGCAGCACAACGAAGAGACGCAGAGTCATGATTGACAAGTCTCAGTTCACTGGCTGCAGGCCGGAGCTGCCACCAGTCACATCACAATCTCCATCGGGTTGCCTGTGGCTCCCCCGGGTGCAGCTGTTGCAGGGGGACTAGGGGGAAGCATCGTTCCCTTGGGGGCTCTGGAGGCTGTTGAAGCAGCGTACGGGAGCTATGCAAAAGTTCTAGATGAACCGGAAAAGGGGTTCGACCTGACCTTAGAAGTAGACGTTTCAAAGGTTCCAACTGGGGAAGGTGCGTCCGCCCTCTTCTGATCCATTTTCATATGCACTAATGTACTTCTTTGCGGACTTGCTGTTGATATTCTGGGTCCTGACGAAATTTCTTCGGACTGTGGCTTTTCAATGAAGAGGTTGCCTGTCAGAAACTTCAAATTTCCCGTGTGATTTCTCGAGGAATCCCACTCAGCAAATCTAACAGAACAGCTCACTCATATTCCAGAATGGATGCCATTCCTGACATAGACGTTATGTCCACGCTTATAAGCACTGTCAGCTTCAAACTCTCAAGCTGGTTTTTTCCTTCCGTTTTCCCTTTCTTCACATGTTCGCAGTTTGAAAACTTGATGCCTCTTCATTGCCAGGTGAACAACAAAAGATTATCAGGAGTTTAGCCTCTTTACGAAGTACTATCATGGCGGCTCCTTTGCGAAACATCTTGAAAGCGCTCTCTTCAGAAGGGGGAGACCCTCAGAGTCCCCCATCCGCAGCCGCAAAGCCCACCGCTCTCTCATATCGACCAAAAGAGGCCTTCTACGTGACTCGAGATGTAAGTGACTCGTCTCTGCATACTTCTGCCTTATATTTTATTCTTCTGATGAGTCCTCTCCTGATGATGCATGTGCAAGTCTAGCAAACGACTGATTCTGATTGTTTGCAAGGCCCTCTGAGAAACTCTTCAAGGGCAAGCCACACTGTTTCACTTCGCGGTGCTCACGAAACCGCTAGCTGGAGACCTTACGCTCCGTTCCTCTTCTCTTGGTCTCCTGCTTCTGGATTAAACATTGAACCGCTTGACTGTCGCCGGCAGGCTGAAAAGGCGACCGTCGTCTTTCCCATGAACTTCCAAGACAGCAACGATGTGATCATCGCCAGCTCGTTTCTCCAGGTGAGTGACCGGACCTTCTAGACAGTTCTCGCTGCAGATTTGGTTGTTGCTTGCATGAGTGAGGGGTTATGTTCAACGATGATATTTTCGGAGTTGCACCTCATCCCACCTGAGGTTCAGGCAACGGCTTAATTTGCAAACGGGAAGTTCTCTGCGTTCGGTCCTTTCTGGATGATCGTACCGTCGGGCGGATTCTCGAGGCTAGTCGTATATTGGCTCATGTGAGCATTTCAAAGTTGGTCTACAAGCAGGCAAACGAGCTTGTACTGAGAGAGCAGGCCCTGAACTCTTGCAGTCGACTTAGCTCAGCGGAATGTCCATCCTCAAAACGCTCTCGTTGTTATCCCAAACCCTGACAGCTCTCCATCGCTTTGCTTTCGGGTCCGAAATCCTGATGGTTTGAGAGTGCCTCTGCCAAAGCCGATTGCATTTCCAAGCGATGTGCGCGCCACAGGACTTTGAGAAGCTCGGCGAATGGTCTCCGAAGACGTAACAATCCTAGCGGGCGGTCGATTTTACTCCTTTTGCAAATGTCCGTCCGTACACGATCTCTTGGAAGCCCAGCGGACCGCGTCCGCCCAGACGGCGCCCTTTTGCGTTTACTCCCAAGTTCCCCCCTCTCGAAATCAAGAACGCCCCACCTGCTGTTCCGGACTGCATTCATAAACGTCGATTCTGGTTTCTGAATGTGGTGCGTGCTTGCAGGAATTCATGGAAGCCCGGCGGACCGCTTCCGCCCAGACGGCGCCCTTCTGCTCCTACTCCAAGTCCCCGCCTCTTGAGCTCAAAAACGTCCCCCCCGCCGCTCTTAAGGCGAACGCGGGCTATGTCTCTTTCGGTGAGCCAGAACAGTCTCGACTGCTTGGACTCGTATCCCCACCCCCTCACGCTTTGCGATTGGAAGCCTACAGCCAGTCTGGACGCCCCAACTCTAGTTTGCATCCTTCGCGCTTATTAGAGTCCAAGGACAGTCAGCTTGGTACAAACAGAAACCTTATCTCGTACAGTTATCTTCCCGAGGCACGTGCAAGGCGACAAACTGGGGCGCACCGCATGGGCCCTCCTGACCTTCTATGCTTACGTCAGCTACCACATAAAGGTGAGCCGGAACAAGCTCGTGCGCAAGTGGGAATGTTTATAATGTGTTTCGCATCGGGATCAAAGAATGCACGACAAAGCCTTGAAAATTTATGAATGAGATTCCTGTCAAGAAGCTCAAAACAATGTCGATGGAAATCGGCCCTTTGTCCAAACGAAGACCTCCGCTCCTCATTGCTCTTCTGCGCAACGATGATTCCTGGTCTCAAGCATGCTATCGTTTGGCAGGGTCGGTTGGTGGCGCGTTACAGGGAGTGTCTTCTGACGACCTGAGAAGCTGAGAGCATTCGTTTCGTCCTTTGCAGTGCTCCAAAGCTTTCATGCACACGCGAATGCGAAGGCGGGTTGAAGGCCTGATTCAGGTGCTGCACAAGGCCAAGCCAGAGACGGTCAAGGAGAAGAAAACTGCCTCCGGCCGGACCTTCGTGAAGCCAACTTGAGATGAATATTGGTCAAGTTTATGGTTCACAACTGCCTGCATGCATTCCCTGTGCTACAAGATGCAGCCGAGACGAGCAAGCGGCTTGCCACGTACGCGTCCTTTCTTCTCGCAACGTCACCCACTGATAGCCGCCAGGAATACGAAGTTTTAAATTCAATGACGCAGGTCCAGGAACTTGGTTGACGGGCTCTCTTCAGAGGGGGAACGTCCATGTTGGCATTTCAAGTCCGCGGCCCGCCACTTTCATTAGCAAATGTACGTTTGTATTTGTACAAAACCATGATACAACTCTGATTCCGAGGATCTGAATATGGCCACGCGCAACGAAATGTGCTAGGTGGTCCGCATTGAACCGCGTATCCGATCCGAGCGAATTGGCCGCGGCGCCTGGACTTTGAAGTTAACCGTACTAGGTTTTGGAAACTGCCATGCAGCGGCGGCCAGGCATAGGCCTGCCAGCAAACCGACTCAAAATGTCGGCAAACGTACTGAATGAGCTGCGGCATGATTCTCAGTGCTCAGTACTCGCGGTCTGGCCACTGTTCTCTCGATCATGGCGGCCGCGCAGGCTTGATTTGAGGAGCCATGCATGGCCGGGTATTACTAAACGGTTATTCCGACAATTTCATACTGAATCCTCCATGTATATTGGTCGTGGACGATCAGTCGCTAAGTGCAATGATTCAACTAGTAAGAGCGGTCATGCGGCGCGTCGCACAGGGTTTGTGTTGGTGCATGCAAGTTTTCGATGCCTAGCTGCTGCAGCCTGCTTAATTGTACGTCAATCAACTCAAAGCTCAAATAAAACTTCTGACATGACTTGTCATGATCCTCGAAGTGTACATGCAATGAGATAGCCTGCAACATGTGTGAGTCCTGCATATGCAAAGTAATCATACGCGGTTGACTATACTTGAACAAACCCATCCGGCTCACACAGTTGACTTTCTATATCCGGCCCGGCCCAGCCCGAGGCCAGCGGCGGCGCCGCTTTAATAAGGAGGCCGCAAGTGACTCGAAGATTTGACCTCACGATTTGCATGCTCGATCGCGGCCTGTCCTGTTCAGATTTAACGTCTTTCTGTCCGCCTGCTCTAGGAACTGCATGCTTTGGCTGCATGTACGCTCAATGTCCAAACTTGAAAAAGAATTACATCCAGATCATGTGGTGTCGTGTCTAATGTACAGCTTTGGATTTAGCACCTACGTGCATATCGGCCGATTGTTCTTCTCGTTCTCGTTACTGCAGTAGGCTGCTGCCAATCTGCACCAACTGATTGCCTCGCTAAGTTTGACTCGAGAATTGAGACCTAGCTTTGCGGATGGAATTCTTCAGCTCAAAACCAGGAGATAGCGCACGTTGACACCGCACACTCTTCCACGAGCCAGTGCCGGTCAGCACAGAACTGCTGCTTGTGTCCTCTACTTGACCAGCGCTCACCACATCCCTCACCACGACCCCCGCCGAACCGTCTTTACTACTTTCAAAGGCAGCTCGAAGAAGCCCCTCTCCGAAAGCCCTTGCCCCTGAAGAAGATCCTCGCCGCTCATCTGCAGGCATACTCTCCTCCATTGTCCCCTGATCTTGAACAAACCGATCTGCCGCCCCCCTGCCCCTCGTGAGTACGCTTGTCTCCGGCCACCGCTCCTGACTCAGTACGTCAAGCCCTCTCGCAGAGTGGTACTTTCGGGCAGCGTAGACGCCGGACGGGCTCGCTTTTCCGACTTCTCCCCTCGCAGGCTCGCCCCACGGAGTCTCTCCCGCCGATGTTCTATCCCTCAATGACCCCTTTGGTGACCCTTTCCTTGATGCATCCGAAATTTTGGACGAATCCTCATCTCCTGCCCGTCTGGACGCGACTACTTTCGCCCCCTCGTTTGGCAATCCTCGCCATTCCCCCACCGCCCCCTCCTCCCGAACCTTCTCCTCGATCACCCGCCCCGGCGCCTGGCCCTCCCACTTCGCCTTCTCCTGGTCTCTCACAATCTTCATCGCTTCCCCTGCGCTCGCTCCCCCTGATTCTGCAGCCCTGCGTGCGCGGCGGCTCTCTACCGTGGCCCTCAGGGACGCTTTCAGAGCCCGGTACTTTTCGCCGCGCGTGATGGACCTGTCTTTGAAGAAGTCCCAGCTCGGCATCTTGTCGACCAGGCCGCCGAGGTACTTGCCGAACGCCAGGTCGCGCTGCTCCACCTCCTTGATGCCGCGCTGGGCCAACCGGAACACGTGCTTGATGTTCCTGTGAATTTGAGATGGCAGATTCGAAATTAGTGCATCTGTTTCTTGATGACTAAGCAATCCCGCTGATGCTTGGTGTTCCTGTGAGAGTGAAGTGACACTTCAGTCCTTGTCGATGTACTTTCAATGATGAGCCATTTGGCGCACGCTGATGCTCATGGCGGCTTCTCATACAGAACGTGTGTCAACTGGAAGACACACTGATGCTCCTATGTTGAATGCCTGCCCCGTTGTGGCTTTGCATTTTTCCTGGTGTACGGTTGAGAATGTTTCAAGCTGACCATTTTGGAGGACTTGTATACCTATATCTTTCGCTTCATGGTACAATCTTGCCGACCAGGAGACTTCTTCGATTGTTCCACATTCAGAGACAAATCAACAACAAATGAATGCAGTGTGACTCAGTACCATATCTTTGCTTTCATCAGTACTCAATGCCTTTCCGGCATCAATTTAACTTTGGAGCAGAGGGGACCAATTGATCATCTCCATTAGATGGTCAGTGCGCGTGTTCGATAACAAAGTATTGGTATTCATTAGGATTCCCTTGTCTAATAGTTGAGCAGATGTCTGATCTCTCAAACAAAGGGTCACGTTAAGCTCCTACTGGAAGGTCCTCCTTCAAGATCAACAGTTTGACCACTGTGCGGAACGCCGTTGAGTTCAAACATAGTGCTGCGAAGAAGCCAAACTGGCAAGAGCAGCTGGATCTAAGTAAACAAGTTTATGACAAACTAAGGCGATTACATCCATAACTTGAGACTCCCTTAGGTCCTGAGCGTGCTAAACAGTGACGCTTGAGTTTTATAGATTGTTGTTTCAGAGATCAATTCACACCACCTTTAAGGCAGGAAAAATACTGGTGGTGGTTTTTGGTCACCTTTTCTGTTTGAAACAATCAACACGTCTGTTTGAAACAATCTGTTTGAAATAATCAACACGTCAAAAGTTTGCTACCAACCTGAAATGCTCCAAATGATGTGGTCACAAGTAACATTTTTGGCTGTTGTTCCCGGAATGTCAAGATACCAAGAATGAACAAATCTGTTACTGTCGCTGATTTTATGACGAAAGCATTGAGTGACACCAGATGATGTCCAGAAGGAGAAAACATATAGCTCAATGCAGCTTCCAAGAAAAGCTGTTCACCTCTCTGCAAATTGCTGGATGCGAGGAACCCTCCTGAGTACTTTCCGCTCAGTCTTGAGAACAAGTCGATAGGCCCTTCGCAGCCCCAAGAAGTAGGCGCTAATCAGAATGGCCTCCGAAAGGACCATGGCTGCTGCCTCAGGAAGAATATAATCTTTAACCTTATTGGAAAGTCCAGTACGACATTGACAAAGTGAGCTGATAGGGAAGCGGAAGTGCTAATCTACGGCGCCACCTCCAAGCGAATTGCGGTTTGCTGCCAATTACTGCCTACCTTTGACCTGAGACCTATGACCTGGTGCTCAACCCAAGCCCAGCAAACCGACATGCACTTGTTTAGATGGCAATGCTGCACGTCAGCAGAGATGGTGCTCAATTCTTGTCCACTCTAAGCAAGTTTCTACAATGAATGCTTATGCTTTTCGGCTTGCTCCAACCACTGGTCACCTGAGGTGAATGACTGATTGGTGACGGCGCTTGTCAACGTCACTTTCATAATATTCTCCTACTTTTTCCTCGACTGTACATGCAAGCAGAAATGCAGAAAGGGAGGGGACTCGAGCGCTCCTCCTGCAGTGACAATGTTTTCCCTTCCTCAAAGTCAGAATCCTCTAGCTTGAATGATCCAGCGCAACCTCAGCCTGCGAAAGCTTGCATGATTCTGAGAAGTGAAGCTGGATATTGCGTCAGCAAGCGCCTATGCAGCTAGAATCCATGACGTTGCACAGAACAGCGTGGAATCTCTTAGACAATTTCGAGCCGTCGATCTGCACCGATCCTGACTTCGAGAATCTTGCACGCGACGGTTGGATGGATATCGACGGCTCGAATGTCTAGAGGAGGCATCGATGTCAACCGACGCCCCGCGAGTCAGACAGCGGTTTTCCCCCGTTCTTCCCTGAGAATCTGGGACTGTAGAACTTTTACAATTATCTTTCGTGTCTTCATACTGTTCTTGTGGTTGCTTTCAATTGCGAAATGCGGGGAGAATCTCTCTGATTTCAAGCTGGACGAAGGCGCAATGCGGCAATAGAGAATCTGAAAGCTGGCACATATGTGCTACTAGACAAGAAATGAATGCAGTTCGAAGTGCGGTTCATCATGCTCCTCCCAAATTGTCGAACGTCATGAGGGACCATCTGAATTTTGGAAAATGCAGCATTGCACTCCTAACTGGACGCCAACCTCAATAGGTTCTGACTCTGTCAATCTGGCGCCAAAGGGACCACAGTAGAGCTGTGCAAATTGTGGCATGCAGGAAGAACGTGAAGAGCGGATCCCTTTGTAGAAGATTGACCGGACACTGCAATGTCTAGGGAAGGAGTCATGTTGAATTGCTGGGGCGACCCTCAGTCAGTTTCAGTAGGCTATGAGACGACAGAGGGCAAGTTATAGGCTCGCCAGGAGTGCCAAAGAAATTGACAACATTGCACGAGCCACTTTGCAGTGCACAAATAGGTAGACTCTTCGAGGAGTGATAAGCCATCACAGAGGGTATGAGGAAACGGAGTGCATGAAAGGAGAGCAGTCTTTATTCTTGAGAGGCCGCTCAAGAAACTAGGTGCCGGTAACTCTGCAGAAGGTGGCCAATTGAGTTTATTGGCAGGGGAACTAGATTGAGGAGGGCAAGAAGCAGCAACCAAGATGACGATGATGGAGGGGCCCTACACGTTGCTCAAGTCCTCCGACTTGGACCGCATTCGGAACACGCTGCAGGAGGCCCCGCAAACGAGCAACGTCTTAGACGTGAGCGGGCCAGAACTTCTTACTGGCTTGCTACAGACACAAAAGCAGGAGTCTTGGTAACGAACAGAAGTCTGGTAGATTCGAGGCTTGTTATAAAGCTTGCTTGCTTCGTTCTTTGTCGGAAAAGTGAAGAGCTGTCGACTTGCCAAGCAAATGCTGGACTGTGACTGCAGGGGACTGAATGAGTAATGAACAAGTCGTTGGAGCTGTGTTCAGTGGCCCAGCAGCTCAATTGCCAATATCCAACCTGTCCTGAGAGGAGTATGAGACACCCTACATGACTTGCTGCTATAATGCTCCACTGGGCTGGTCAACGGTTCGAACAATTTAAAGGGTTAAGGAGGAGCGGCACCAGTTACAAAGACAGCAGTCTCACTTCTTTCTCAAAGTGTGCAGTGAACTTTAAGTACTTAGTCTATGCGGTTTCATTGCACGAGCTGTGGGCACTGGTATTTGAGCACGAAAAGACGGTCGAAAACTCTCCTTCCTGAACTTTGACCCCCGTACTCACCTCACGCTGACCCCACTCTCACTTCTGCAGAAGGTCACACTACACGCCGCATCAATAGAGCGATCGAAGAAATGGCCGAACACAATCCACGCGCTCCGTGCAAAGAAGGAGGCGGCAAAGCGGGAGAAGGCAGAACTAGAGGAGGCGGAGCGGTGCAAGGTGGACGCAGAGGAGGCCGCGTTCCGAGCAGAGCAGCGCAGGATGCAGGTGAACAAGCATAAGGGTCTTCTTTTGGGGGAATATATGACGAGTATGTCGTATGTGGAGCTCCACACGTAGGCGTCCCAAGAATAGTGTTTTAGAAGGCAAAGTTCAGTAGCCGAAGTTCCGCATCAAATGCTGAAAACTTGCACATGCCGAGGTAGATATTCCCAGCGCTCCGTGTTCCAGAGCTCGAGAAAACGCATGCAGTCAATTGTTCGACTCACGGAAGCACGAGTGGATGAGTGCTCGCGTCTGCTTTGCAAGATTAATAGATTCGTCTGGCTGCGTTGGAAAACATGTCCCAAGAGCACAGCATCTGAACGGTGCAGATAACAGCATCCGAGCACGGTGAGAAACAGCTTTCAATCTTGATGTAAGCCTGAATGTTCGAAGCGTCGTGACGGATCAAGTCACTGCACAACGTGACTGGACTACTCAGTTTATTCACGATAGTGTGGCCAGTTGAGCAAGACGTCTCGACTATCTCGTGCCAGTCATAAGCTAATCTCCATCAGCTAATATCGACTCATAGTCTATCATATTCCCTTTCATGATGCAGATTGAGCGCGCCAACAAAATGCTGCACGACGAGAACGACATGGTGAAATCGTTCCACGGCAAGATGCTGCTCAGCGACATATTGCAGGCGAGCCCCACTTTGGCCTTTGACTAAGGCAACAGACCAATCGTACTCGTGCTTGTCTCGCCACCTTGGCACTAATTCGGAATAATAAGCCCTCTGCAGAGCAGGCTTAAGTCTTTCTTTAGAAAAGACCTGCCATTACTCCGTTTGAGGTCGAGCCTTACTCAGTAGCACAAGCGAGTACTCGGAATTACCACATTCGAGTCCCGTCTACTCTCAAAAAGAATTGAACAGCAGAGTATGGTGATACAATAAATTGTCTTTTTTTGACTTGAGATTGGGTTTGATTCGAGAACCCCCTTCTCAACCCGCGGAAACAAAGGCTTGTGCAGAGAGTGTACAATTTCAGCCACGTCCGTTGAAAACACCTTTTGAAGATTCTCAAAACGCGAATTAATCTGCAGGAGCGAGAAGCGCAGATCGCATACAAGCAGACCGTCAAACAGCTGCGCACCAAGGCGGACCAGGCTCTCTTAGACCAGCAGCGTGCGGCGCTGGCCAAAGCGGAAGACGAGGAGAAGAAGAAAGCGGAAGAGCGGAAGAAGAAGCTGCTCGAGCAAAAGACCATCCAAGGGAGCCAGGTGAGAAGACATTTCGAGAAGTTCCGCTTTTAGATTGAGAACCCTGTTGAGTGTTCTCTGAGACATACATAGACTCCTAATGGTTTCAGATAGCTGCCTTTTGATTTTGCCGCATCTTGAAGATCAATGAGACCTACGACTCGCTTCAAAACAAATGTCCAGTCTCAAGACCCTCGAGCGACTGCTCTCTGTCCGGTCCGTCCAAAACTCCAAACGGCCCTTGAACGTAGTTGCGTACTCTGATTCACTATCAGGTCGAAGAAGACGCTCTCATGATAAAAGCGCCCGTCCGACAAAATTTCCTGGCTCCATTTCCAGTTGGACGAGCTACGGACGCGCATTCTCAAGGAGCGCGCGGACGTCCGCGAGGAGGGCGCGCGCCTGCGCGCGCGCGCGGAGGCCGACGCCGCGGAGGCGCGGCGAAAGGAGGAGGAGCGCCGGCAGCAGGCGGTCGCCGCGAACCTAGCGACGGCGGCCGCGAACGACGCGCTGAAGAAGTGGAAGGAGGACATGCGGGAGCGGGAGCGGCAGGAGGAGCGACAGAACGCGGGTAAGGGGGTGGAGATGTGCGAAACGGGACGCATAAGCTATGAGTAAAGTGCACTTTTGGAACCTAGCTTGGGAGTGCGAGATAGTACTTTGAGGACTTCCGTCTCGTAGCAAGCGCCTCGTCGACATTGGGCAGAAGAGAGAGCCTGAATCCTGCTGAACGGCAAGTTTCGAATCAGACCAATTTTTGTTAACACACCAAAATCTCTACCCAACCAAGGTTCTGAAATGCTGCTGATCCACTTTTCCCTTTCCCAATCCATCAATTCATTCGCCTTTTTATTTGACCCGTAGACTTAACCAGAATTTCATCTCCCCGCGCAGAGTACGTCCTCCAGAAGCAGCAGCAGCTGGCCGAGCGCCGCGCGGCCGAGGACGCGCGCACGGCCAAGAAGGCCGCGCACCGCGCGCGCTTGATCGCCGCGCGCGAGCGCGCGCTGCAAGACTACAAGGATAAGAACGAGGCGCGGCTGAAGGAGCAGGAGGAGGCGCGGATACAGGCCGAGGACAACCGGGAGAGGGAGGCGGCGGAGCGGCGCGCGCGCGAGGCGGAGGCGATCGACAAGAGCCGGAAACAGCAGGTGAGAAAAGGACTTTTTGTGGCCGGGAGAGGAAAGACTTGCATCGTAATGATATCGTGAATCAGTTTTGTAATGGCAGAGCTTCTGGCGGCGGCTTTAAAAGCTCCAGGCAAAGGCGGTTGACAGAGTCCAAGACAGCGCGCGAGGAAAGGACTGTTCGTGTCCGGAGAAGGAAAGACTTGCATGACTCTGATGTCGAGATCTACTTTTGGGATAGTAGGGCCATTGGCGACGGCTAGAAGGGCGTCAGGCAGAAGGAGTCCACAAGAGACGGAGACTGCAGATGAGCGAGGCGGCTTGTTTCGCTGACTGTGTCTTTTCGCGGCCGGTTTTGGTTCCATACTACTGTTTGGAAGCTTGGTCGTTGGTTCTGGAAAGGACGAAGATTGAAAAGAGCCAGAAGCGTGGCGTGAGAGCTGGGAGCAAACCACGCTCGACTTCCGAATTTTCGAGGTTTCAAGTGACCAGCTTTTCTCGTTCCTTGCAGCTGTGGAACAAGCACAAGCAGCGCGAGGCGGAGTTCCGCGAGCAGAAGGAGTTTGTGGACCAATGGAAGCGGCGGAACGCGGAGATCAAGGCGGAAGAGGCGAAGACGAAGCAGGACGCGCTGGCCAAGGCGCGAGCCATGCAGGCCGCGCTCAAGAAGCAGATGGTGGGCCTTTCTCCCTTCTTTCCGTTCTGTGTTACAGGGCGACTCGATAGGCATAAGAAAAAAGGCGACTACCTTGCGAAGTGTTACGAAGTGCGTGAGGAGAGCAACTGTTTGTTGATGATGAAACTGGAGTTTGGCTATGGATACCTTGCATTCACGCATCAGTACGTGATCAGATGGTACCGTACGCACTTCCTCCTTGGACCTTACTACCAAGGTGCAGCGGACAGACCACTTGTACGACCGAGCGACTGTAACCCAAAGATCCTCGCGCATCCGAAGTTCGCCTACGGTGTATATTCCTCGTCAACTCTGTCATATCTACTGATCGGAAGCGGTAACTTTTCTGGTCAAAGCCCTCTACGTCCATGCCTTGAATGTGACACCACGTCAAGCTAAGCTTTCTTTTCCTCAACGAGCTTACTGCCATACGCCCACTTCCCTTCTTCCCTGATTCGACGTTATACTTAGCCTAGGCGCGTCTCACTCACAGGACAAGAAGGCCCGTCGAAGGGAACAAGAGCGGATGCAAGACTTGGAAGAGTTCGACGCAACGATGGCGGCGCTGTCCGAAGACGAGGCGACGTTCCGGGAGTATGCGGACGTTTGCGTCAACGAGTGGGCGACCCTGGGGAAGAGCACCAAACCGATGACGCTCATGCTGAGCAAGAAGCGGGAAGAGCTTATGGCCGCGACGGTCGACTTATAGACTTTGACTTATTCGGCTTATATGTTTATAAGATTGCAATGGAACACGGTTCTTGACTAAGCAAAGGACATAGAACTGCTTGAACACTGCAATGGAGTCAAAAAGTGCATACTTAGTGACGTTTTTTACTCAAAGGTGTGCGAGCTCCGCGTGATGTGTTATTCACATATTGTGCGCGTCATAAGCAAAGGATTCGTGCGCATGGCCTGCAAAAAGTGGGGTGTTTTTGTCATGGTGGTGTTTAGACCGAATGATGGCTGATCCACCACGCATGAGTTTCACGACAACACACGCGGCAGTTGAAAACGTCAATATTACGAAGTGCCTGTGACTATTGGCAACATCGATGTTTGCTGCTTGTTCACGAGCTACATTCTAGAGCGTGATACTTTCTAGCTGGAGTTGTCTTGAACAATCGAAGCATCTTCAAGTCACTGGCCGGCCTAACGAAGTAAAAAGTTTGTACGTTGACATGTGCCAGAAGTCCTGTCAGACAAAAATATACGTAGCTGCTGCCAGCCATATACGATGATGCAGTGCTGCTAATACAGCGCTGTGTAGCACCCAGGAGTAGGTTAGCACCCAGGTCACCCAATTCTGCTTGTATGTACTCGGAGCAGGATTCGAAAAACTTTAACCAAGTAACTTAAGCAGAGCCGGCCGGTCCCGGGGCCGCGGCCGCGAGCCGTGGAACAATCTGGTCCGCAACGATATCATCGGACGGCTAAACTTCCATGTAACCAAGATTCAAAGATCACAAAAATCCGAGGAGTCAAACTCTATTAGTCGGCGGTTGCAGCCGTGGTTTACGTCCCAGAAGTTTCCTCTTTTGTGTCAACTCCAGAAGGCCGTGTAGAAGGCTGGCCAAATGGACACTTGGTGAGATATTCGAATGCCTCACTCTACTTGCAGGACGGTTGTTCTGAAAGAAGCATTGGAGTCGCTCTACCATACACGATCTGCAGCTGCCACTTTGTAGGCCGCTAGCGGCGCACATTGGTTTTACTCTTTGAGGTGATGAAGGGGGCCGCTCCTGAAGGAATTTTCAATCTGAAGAAGATTTGTGGTCTTTGCTGAGTCGCGATTGACCTTGTGCAATCAGCTCTGAGGCGGAGCTAGCGGCATTACGATCAAAGGCCAGGGTGCTTGCAAAAAGTGTTGGTGGGAAGGCGATTTGCCAGCATTGTCGACATTGCACTATTTGTCCAGTGGCACAAATTTGATACCCTGTGCAACTGTTAGAAGCAGCATCTTTTAGGTGAATTTTACCGCTGGGATGTTGGGAGGCGATAGAAGTGAGGGAGGGGGTTTGGAGCGGCACCAGAGTCCTCACGCAGAAGACCTGAATCGTGTTCATCCGCCTGCAATGTGGAGCCATGTTCCGGTCTGAGCAGAACCTCCGGACCTTTTCCACACAAAGTATTGCAGACGAAGAGGAAGCCGACAGTTCCCCTCTGCTCTCTTCACAAAATCAGAGCAAGCAGCGAAAGGGGAGCAATCTGAGGTATCAATCGGGTCTGTCCCAAGGATCGTTTGTGTCGTATGGTAACACGTCATTTGAGGTTGATGCTGAAGTTCCTTTACCAACTGAAACCCTGAGGACCGGCAAAGAGTGGCCATCTGGGATAGGAGCAGACAGCGGTGCAGGCACTCCTCGAGAGCTCTCTGTTCAGGAGGCGTCAGATCTGCTTCCCCTCTTTGGAAGCAACCACATATTCAGCAGCAAAAACACTCGAAAGCCAAACCCCCTCTTCATAGCTGAAGAGGCTCAGGCTTCAAATCCCTTGTTCTTTGAGAGTAGCTCACCGGAAGTTAGCCCTAGTCCCCGGCATCCTGTGACAAGGCTCTTAAGCGCAGAACCACCTTTGTCCAAGGAGAACAGTCGGGACAATCCGGTTTACTCTCCTGCTGAAACGCCAAGAGACTCGCCAAGCAGTAGCTTTGCCTCACTTGAGAATTACCAGCTCCGATCTTTTACAGTCCCAGACGTCGCTGCTCAGCTCGATTCAATCTCTGCCAGCATGACTGTGAGTGTGAGCGATCAAGGCTGGCAGGATAGCGAGGGGGCGCAGCACTCGAGGAGGTCATCCAAGCAGCAGGTCTGGATGGAGTCGGGGGAAGGGAGGGAGGGAGATTCTTACGCAAACACCATGCTTGCTGAAAGCCTGAGCTTGTCAGGGCCTCTGGGAAACGTACCTCTCAGCAGAAAGTCCTCTGCAACTAGGTATGGGCCCTCTCGGCAGCCTAGCGTTGACAGTGCCTTCCCTGGGGACAAGGACTACCCGAGCATCACCTCACAAAGCCGCATGAGCCACTCAGGGCCCCTGCAGAGGGATGGGTCGAGCTTGAAAATGGAGCCAATCAGCCACTCCCCGGAGCTTGAGGTCCAGCAGAAACCAAAGAGCAGGCGCGCTAGTAAAGGGGATCTGTACACTGGTTCTGCCATGGGGTCGCAGCGCCTGACTGGAGATATGTCGAGGGAAGCAGGCGAGCCAATCAGCGAGAAGGCTGCTGAAAGTGCGCTGGTTGACATCAGTGAGCTGGAACAGAGAGGTGAGTCAGGAAGCTTCTTGTCTTGGAAAGGGGCTTTTCTTCCAACATCCGCTGAAGTGACCTGCTGAGCTCAAGTACAAGCTCCTCTCATCACGAGCTGAGTTTACAAGCTTATCAAAACTCCAACAATCGTCAGGGCTGATTCTGTTGAAAGGGCTGAGAAGCTTCATTTTTTGCATGAATATGCAAAGAGGGGTGTGACAGGACAGGATCATCAGTTTCGACCATGAGCTTAAGCAGGAGACCTCCTGGAGTCCGCTTATTCTACCTCACATTGTATCGGACATGCAAACGGAGACCTTGTCAAGCCCTGTGCGTAGGCGGACAGACCTTGTCAACCATCATTGCCAATCTGGAGATTCTAGTAACATAGTTAATACTTGTGCTAGAAGACGCAGTTAAAGATAACGCCCGCATGATTTCTAATCGATGTGCGTTGCCTTACCCCAGGTACCGCTGTTCCTCGAGGAGATTGGCAGCACCTCTTCGGCTCACAAGGAGCAGACCAAGCAACCGTGGTTACCATCGAAGCAGACTACACAAACGGCTATGACGACACCCAGATCAGCCGCCAGGGCTCTCGTCCCCTCTCCAAACGGCCGTCTCTCTCTGGCCCCATTCTCAGCACGACTAGGAACGGCAGAGACTCCGCCTACAGCAGCCAAAACGTAACGCCAAGCGCGGCTGGACAGAAGGGCGTTACCAGTCTCTCGAGAGCGGGGTCGCAGGCAGGGGAGGACGGCGAGAAGCGGCCGCGGCGGAGCCTGACGCTGAAGAGGGTTTCGGACGGGCAGGGTGAGGAGGAAAACGGACGCGAACGGACGCCCAGCGCGGAGAAGAAGAGCCGCTGGCTGAGGTCGCATCCGGTGGACCGGGGGCTGGCGGCGCTGAATGATGACGAGGAGAGCGGGACGGTTTCGAGGACTAGGCTGGGGAAGGCGACTCCAGGTATGTCGTCCGAGCTGGAAACTAATATTGCTGTTCTTTATCCGTTTTGTTATCTTTCGACTTACAGATCCGTGAAGCGAGAAACATTCGAACCACGTTGTAACAGGCGTCGACCATGAGTCTTTCGTTCTATTCCATCAGATGAATGGATTGCGACGAGATTCCGAGGCCTGGTTTAGATCGAGGCGAAAGGCAAGGCGCTGAAGCCAATCAAAGCGTCAAGTGGGGAAAGTCCGGGTTTTCTACCCAGCTACTGCAACTGTTGAGTCTGACTAGTTTTCCAGGCCTTGGAGCGGCTTCAGCTTTGTGTACCACCTTTTTTTCCCAGCGAACGCTTTTTAGGTATTTTTAGGTACCTTCTTCAAATTTGTCACCCGGCAGGATTCGCCGCATCCCAGCGATTGACAGCAAAGAACGGCTTGTCCTCTCGCGGTATCCCAATGAAGGTGACGGTTGTCGCTCGCATGTCCAGAGGATTGCTTGCCATCTCAAGGCTAGGATAAGGATTAGAAGGACTTACTTCTTCAATTATCTGGAGGCAGTGGGAGCAGGATTCTCATCTTTTCAGAGAGGATCGTCGATGTGATGAAGGTTTGCGAAAACTCTCCTAACCGGCCAAGCAACAAATTAGCAAGGCTCAGACAAACTTCGAAGCACGTGACGGGGTAAATATGCCCGCGGTGGATATTGAAAGAAAGCTTCGGGATGTCCGACCTATCATTGCACTTACGACACGTGGATCAAACGATTGTCAGACTGTTCGTTTCGCGTACCGGAAAAGACGTTGTGGGATCAATTGGAACACACCTTTGACGCCACCCCCTAAGTCGGCAGTGTCTTGCAGGACCTTAAAATTGCTTTAGGGGCAGAAAGGGAGCACAACGCATGAGGACCGCACCGGGCGTTCAAACCTGAAAGTTAGAGACGTCAGCTTTCTGATTCCTACAACCGTCACAGTCCACGAGCCAGAAAGCAATGAAAGTCCATTTGTGCAGAATGCAGACACTCTTGCACCACTAGACATTAATTGCTCACCGCACATCTCTCTCCTGTCCAGGCGAGATCGCCATGGTTTCCCTGGAGGCGGCCACGGGCGGGGGCGGCCCCGAAACCCTCCGCATCGCGCGCAAGCTCAGCGACAGCAGCACTGAGTCGCAGCCGGCGTCCCCCAGCGGCGACCACCCGATGCGCGGATCCGACGCGGCGTTCGAGCCGCTGGTGCCGCTTAAACCCCTCAAACCCCTCAAGATCATCCCCAACCAGGTGGTTATGCCGGTGAGACTGCAGCCCGCGCCGGCGCCGGCGCGCAAGCAGAAGCGGTTCTGGGAGAAGTCAGCCTTCCGGTGGTCCGTGGCTCTGGGCGTGATTGTCCTGGTAATTGTGGTGGTGGCTGTGCTGGCGTAAATGTCAAATTTGATTCCCGTCGGCGTTTGCGTAGGACTGAAGATTATTGCTTAGGCCTGAAGATATATATTGATTGAGAATTGGAATAGGAGTGCGTTGTGCGTAGGATCATAGGTAGGATTGGGTGTTAGTCATGCGGGGAATCTAGAAGGCGGCCATTTGTGTGCGTTTTATGGCCGACAATCGAGACGGCGGCGGAGTCATGCAGGCTGCGTGTATTGCCCGAGCTAGAGTGTAAAGGCATTTGAGCGACCGACGTAGGACTGCTGTACACATGTCGGTTCATATGTAAGATACGGGTGCTTGCGTCCCGCCTATCCGTTGAGGTGGTAATTGAACTGATTGCGAGTAGCTTATAATGTAGGACGAGAAGAGTGAATTAAGCTGGGTGGCGCGGCGAAGCACTGACCTCAATCGAGTTCGCTGGACAAATGACGGTGGAGCGTCATGTGCTGCTTGGGATCAATCGATTTATATCCTACATGTGGCCAAATACAACGCCCGCAGATTCTAGTTAAAGGCCACTTGCAGCTTCATTTTTGCATCGCGAAACGCCCGCAGTGGATCTGTCTAAGGTCACGTTCACTAGTATCCTTGGGGGATGCGTGCCAAGCTCAGCTGTTACGTCACCAATCAAACGCTGACAGCGGGCGTGCCTGATTATACTAGTGAGCTCATCTGAAATCCGAGTTCAAATTCGGAAAAGAAGATTTGAACTGATGAAAACATTCAAGGGCGGCACAAGCATATCTACACTTGATCTTTACCAAATTGGTCGCATGCCACGTCATCACCCAGGCTCGTTTACGTAGCTTCGCCATACAGAAATTCTAGCTTGCGAGTTGTTGCACATACATGGGGCCTACACCACGTTGAGACGGTCATGATGCGACCCCCAAGCTGCGGTCCTTGTTTGAATCCTATGACCTTCTCAGTGACATTAATAAAGCAACGAGTAAGCTCTTGCAGTTGAGCGCATAGCTGGGTACGCAAAAAGCATTGCACCGTCGAATGCCAAATCATAACTCAGCGAAGGGAATATGACTTGATTGAATGCAGTTGAACCATAAAAATCATGCATGCATGCATGCAGAAAGCTAGGTCCATCATTGCTTCAAATCAGGTAGCTGAAGCTATACATGCGGCTCTGATTCGATCGGCACATACAGCGCAATGTCTGATGTGCCAGGGATCTCTCGGACACTTTAAACATTAACTGGGGGCGATTGCGCCTATACCAATGTTGAAGTCGATTCTTGTATGGGAACCTTATATATGATGATATTGCAACTTTTCAAGCAAGTTGAAGCGTCGGATTTGAAGCGAGTCGATCACAACATGATGCCATGTCCGACCGACTCATGATCCGACCTTCACCATGCGGGAGCAACAAGTAAGGGCCTGATGACTGCAGCTGAGTGTAATAATGACCGGGCGATTTGCAGACACCAATCTCGTTGGTGATCTGAAAGGCCCGCTGAATCAATTCTTGGCTTACGCAGATGCACAAAGAAAACGCTTCAGCCTAGCCTGATAGACAGCCCAAGCAAGCCTGCTCTGTGATCGCCTTGCAAAAGTTCCGCAGTGCCGGCAAATATGGTCTTGCCGTTAAGAGTCCTGTAGTGAGTCAACGCTCAGCACTGATAAACGGCTGAACTCAACCAGACTGTATGTCCTATATCAGTCGCAAGATTCTTGTGCTCGAAGCTACACCTAAAGGCGGACTAACAGGGGCTGCCAACTTTACAACAGCTGAAAAGCTTGTGACCTCGTTTGCTTGCTTACTTATCATGCCAGGCCAGCGCTTGTATAGGCTTATTAAGACTTAGCCTGTATATTCACGTCTCTATTTACAGCCAAAGGACCCACAAAAACAGGATCAACTCATGCAGCTAGCGCTGCTGAAATGGTCAACTTTCTACAGTAATGGTTTCGAGATAATGAAAGGGGTGCCTTGCTTGGAGCCAGATTGCGCATTTCAGTGTCAAGGCATCCTATCTTGTACCACCTGCACAAGGAATAGAAGGAAGCATTGTGAGGAGGTTTAACACCACATGCACGAGGTGTTCCACTCAAGACATAGGTTGAGACTGAGCGGTAGAAATCACTGCAACGAGGATAACCTGACCAGAGGCAGCTACAGTCCAACGTTGTATTTTTGAGCTCTAACTTTCACCAAAGTGTTTTGATTCACATTAAGCAGGAATCCTGATTAAACCATGGTCAACTCTGACCAGAAGACTGCCGGACTGCGCTTGCTTTGAACACGACAACTGGAGTGAATCTAAACGCAAGGACCTTGAAGAGAACCTGAAAGGCATCCAGGCTCCATAGATTGCTTCCTTGTAGAACACTAGTTGATACGAAGCAGTGGCAAAATCCAACCACAATCCAATCGTTCCTTTCAAGCAAGATTCCAGGGTCTGACCCCACTACTACCCATTTTCCAAGTCAGAGTATGGTCAGAAGACTCAAAAGGACCCAGTTCTGCAACAAGAGCTTTTCAACTTCTCTAAAAGCGTCAAACATTCAAAGCCGCTGAATCCACACTACAGGATCTCATCAATTGTCAAGGCAAGACTTCAGAGTGGTGAAGTCTGCTGCTTCACGCTCCATGACTGGCCCAACATACTGAAAGCAGAGACAAACCCCAGCCTGCGACCAAGCGAGCGGAAAAACATTCAAGAAGGTCACGAAAGAGCTGGCTGCTACATGAATCGACTGTGAGAGGAAAAACATCAAATCATGGACAACAAGCATAAGTGATGTGAGCTCAAAAGGAACAGACGGGAAGGAAGCTAGCTTAGCTCACCCTAACACTTGATTCCGCAGGCGTGAGCGCGCCCCCAGGCCCGCTCCGCCTCTCCTGCATCACGTCTGCGCCGATAACCGCATCCACCCCTGCTGTCCCGCTCCCCGGGTTCCCCACCTCCAACAGCGGCAGCACAATCTGGCCCAGCCTCACAACTGCATCTTGGAAGCTGAAAGGCCAATCATACTCTGCCCTTATGTCAGCGTCGAGCTCCCGCATGGAGCTCTCAAACCCCGGCTCCGCTTCCACAATCTCAGAGAAGAGCCCCTCGACTTCAGGGTCGTCATCGAACATTCCTGGGGGTTCGGGAGCCCTTGCTTCCTCTGTGATCTCCCCCCGTCCTGGCGAATGCAGATAGTCGTGCATGACGGCGTCCGTGGGGGGGAGGAGGATCTCGTGCAGCCACTGGTAGGGTTGGGAGTGGATCCCCCCGTTTGCTTTCTCGCAGGAGATCATGGTCGACCGAACCTCGAGCAGGGCGAAACGCTCCTCGGCCAGCGCGGCGTCGCACATCTTCTTCTGGTAGTGCGCAAAGCTCTGGGCCAATGCACCGGCCTTGGTGAAGAGACCTCCCAGGATTCCGGCCAGGTTGGGTGCCATTTGGGCACGATGCGCAGGCTCCCTTTTAAACCCAAGAGCCTAACTCTGTTCCTATAACGGCACACCCTGTTTCTACAAACTGAGGTCCAAAACCCCGCTCCTAAACCCTGGAACTGAGTCCACAGAGCTCTACAGCTGAAACCAGTGGAATTGATGAGTTAGGGCCGCTGTTATTGCAAAGACCTGCACTCCTGCTAGGCCCACAAACGAACGGCTGCGCCACGGGTTCCTATTTACAATTATGACAACGCCGTACTTCAGGGCGTAAACGTTTAAGCTCGGTCAGCTAGACATGTACCCTTCGCCGACCTTCATGTGAGCTCTGCTTTATCTTGGTGACCGTGACTGATGAGCCTGTTGCGCTTCCCGAGACACGGTCCTATCACGAGAAGGCCCTACAGTTGCACAAAGGAGACCACTATTCCAGAGCCTGATCTCTTGACAGGCATACTTCCCACGCAGAATCTGGACTAGAGAAAGTGATGACACCACCGACAAATACTGGAGCATAAGTTGAAAAAGCCAAGCGCGCGGCCCATCGAAATTGAGCTAGCCCTTTCTGCATTACAGGGCTGGCTCAATCTGAATTCTGGGAGCCCCATTTCCGAGAGGCACTGATCTCATTCTAGCTGCAAAGCCCAGCTGCTGCAATTGCGGGCGCCTGCTGAAGTTACCAGGATGCACCATACTACAAGAACATCAAGCTCATGTAGGTAATGCAGATCAAGCTCCTATAAAGACGGCCGCCGCCGCGACCAGAAAATCTAACAGCTCGACGACGAAAGTGAGGAGTAGCACCACAAATTGAAATGGCATTGGCAGAGTCGGGCCGTGCTGCAAGCATTCCCCCCAGCTGTGGCAGCCATTGCTGCTTGCATCAGCACGCATCAGCACGGGGGTTCGTTCCGAAACAGCCTGGCAAGTGCGACTTTTGTCGCTTTCACATTTCTAAGAACCGGGCTCAAGCAGGGAATAAGGCTACGCGAAGTCGATATGGGGATTCCGGTCCGCGACCGACCGGGATTTTGGAGATTTTTGAAAAAGTGACATAAAATAAGTTGAAAATTGCTCGGATACACAGCACTTATGCACTCCCATTTGTCTCATATTGCTTCAAGATTCCAAGATGTGCTGAGAGAACTTTGAGCATTTTGGCGAAGTTGATCCCCGGTTGTAACCAAACCACTGATTTGCTGCCGAAAACACCCCTCCAATACCGGATTCAGCATTTATGAAGCACTTATTCAGAAATGAGCAAAATATTGCCAATAAGGGCCAAAATCTTATTTATTGTTTTGTGCCGACCGACCGACCCACCCCCGAAGGGGGTGGACCGGAATCCCCATATCAACTTCGCGTAGCCTAATGCTTTGATTGGAAATAATAATGCCACTCGTCTGTGTACCTATGGGCACCATCGACAGTAAATAGTCGGCAAAATCGGAATCGAACGGCTTATGTTGTTCAAGGTCTGTGTTACGTCGTCACCGACCTGCAGAAGCCATGGGAAGGGGGGTGCAAAAGGAGGACTTATACAAGAGACGGCATTAGCCCCCTAGCAAAGTCTGAGGAGTCACGAGCAAATAAGAAGAGTTTTGATTCTAGAGACGACAAAGATGACACACACACGCTGGCACAAAATTGTGGATTTTGTGAAAGTTCGATTGAACCAGACCGGTTGTGGACTTTCTTTGACCCCCGACATCCTAGTTCAACCTGCCGGGCTGACGACATGATATGGAGCTGCACAAAAATCCCGACGGTTGGTACCGCTCCCGTTAACCTGGCAATCTACTGCTCCGTTCGACCAAGCTGTACCTTTTCGACACAATAATAATATTGTGTAAAAAGTTTCGGATCGACTTCTGCAGAAACTTGGTTGGCAGTAACTTTGTTGGCAGAAGTGCCACGTTTAGTAACTCTCCTACAGCAGATGTCAGTATTCATTCATGTAGCCTTAGGTTAGTGCGTAACTTGTTACAAACCGGGTTATCGGAACCAAGAAATGAGATTCAGTGGTTCGATTCCGTGCGCCGATACGGACTTGACCGGACTTGGAATCAGGAATCCGGTACAGTCATCCGACCAGTATTTGACACGAGCCGTCACGGTCCAAACAGGCACGACGGAATTGCCACTCGGTCGCTTCAACCGAGGGGCGTCGGCCGACAAGCGGACAGGAACGACAAGTGGATCGTGATTATGGTTTGACCTTTGGGCGTGAGACAAGCCGACCGGTTCAACTAAATCCCAGCCGAAGGACCGGGGAACAGTCCGCTTGGGAGCCACCGAGATCGACACTCGGTGTCGAACGCTGATTCCAAGTCCCCGGTATCCGAATCCGACTGTAATCAGCCGACAGTCGGATACTCCTCCCGCCGCCCGGGGTCTGGGCCTGGGGAGACCATGTAGCCGGCGGGTTCCAACCGGTCAGTACGGTAGTAGGTACCTACTCTTGGTACACGGTACACCTGATCATCGATCATCGAGTCTTGCTGATAGCATGGTCACATCTGAGCTTTGGAAAAAGTTTGGGAATTGCGCCAAACAAATTCACGGTACCGAGAATGCCTTCCCGGTCACATCTACCAAGTTTTGGAAGTTCGGTAGCGAGGAGGGAACATTGAAAGCTCCCGTGATATCCGGGATAGTAATCATAGTACCAGTCTACGGACGGGTCTTTTCGGAAGCTCTAGCTACCGAAACCTCGGTACCGAACTTTTGCGGAGTCCCAGCGTTTAGGGTCGGGTGTGTTTCTCGGTACCGAACATCGATAAAATCGAGAGCTTGGTACCGAGAAAGCTCCAAATTTCACCGTCGGGACTCCAAAACGCGTAGATGTGACCATGCCATGATTTCGAGAGATGATTTCGGGACTGCAGTCTGCCAGTGCTGGTCTAGCCAGGTACCTAGCCAGGTGTAGCTGCTGCAGACTCGGTGCTGGTCTGCTGGTTGGAACTTGGAATGACACTGAACTCATGAACAGATCCGCAGTCGGCAGATCTAAGCGGAGTCGAGCCGAGTTGCTTTAGGAATTCAGGACCAGGTGTTCCTTGGCTGGCTCAAGATACCGGTACTAGTAGTTCGAGTTCAGCGAGCTGAGGAGCAGGGAAAGTCTTCTCTCTTCCGCACAAGATCTTACCTTTCTGCAATCCTTGACCTCAGCATCTCAAGCTCCAGCTGGCTGCCATCATGGCGTCTCCCTCCTGGATCCCATCTGCATTGCTCCTGGCAGCATTGGCCATCTACTTTGGCGCCGTCCCAGGGAACGCTCAACTGCCGCCGTGCACTTTGACCTATGCAACAACGGCCCCTCTCCCGCTTGAGTTTGGCGTCGCTGACAGGCAGGGCTTCTTCAGGCAGTTCGGCGTCGTGCCCTGCCCTCGCAATGTGAGTGCTATTGTGGTCTGCTTGTTCCATTCTTCTGAACAAAGACCGATGGTTGTGGAACAGGGGTGCAGAGAAAGGAGTCACTCACGCAATGTGGCCTTCAGAGTGAGATGAAGTCTACCACAATCACATTGAGTACAAATAGTCTCCCGCAGAATCGGAAGGGGAAGAAGATCTGGGTGTTTCCTGACACGCTTGGCAGCCTCCTTCCTTTTCCAGATTCCAGATCTGTGTTCTGCATTGCATCTTCCCGCAATGCTGCAATGGTGATGACACAAACCTGTGGTGCAACAGCTTTGCAGTCCACTAATGTCAGCATCCTTTCATTGACAATGTGGCGCTCTCATTTATGACAACTTGGAGGTAGCCCTGTGCACTAAGCAACAGCATTGCGCTGCTGATGTAGTGCACTAATCTTTGGCAATGCGGCGCACCCCATTCCTGCCTTCTTCGCAGAGGAGCTTCTTGGACAACATTCGCTTTCAGTGTGGGAGTGCGCCTTAACTTGGCTGCTTTTCGGTCCTCGTCTAAAGTGTCGGTAAAAGTAATGCCAGGACAGGGTCCTGCAATGCAATGCCATAATGCTAAGAGCATACTTACCTGCCAACTTTTCTCTGGCAAAAGTCACATTGAACAAGTAGGATCTACTTGAGAGGAAGTTCCCTTTTAAGCATTGTTTGATGTGTGGTGTCCTTAGGTGCCCTTCACAACTGTAAGACTGTCAGCCTTGTGAAGTATTGCTCACCAAGAAGTTGTGCTGAACCTTCTTTCAGTGCCATGGCGCTGTTCTTATGAACGATTCTAGGCTTCAGAAAAAGCTCAGATACGGCGCTAGAAGGTCAGTGTCAGATTATAAGAAAGGAGAAGGGCGCCCCTGAGAGGGGACGCTGCATCTGCATTCCAACATGAATTCCAAAGAAGCATTTCCTGTTTTTCTGTTAAGCCAATCTGCATAGTCAGGAATTTGCTCTTTCTCATGCTCATGCTGAAAATCTACCAGTCTGGTTCCAGGCCTTGTAGAAACCTCTGAACCTTCCGAATGTTCTGGTCAAACTGGTTGAGATGACCTGAAGGTCCGTCATACCGGTTGAGATGACCTAAGGTCTGTCCCTGGTCTGAAGGAGCCGTGAACCTGAGGAAACACGCCTGGTCTGCAGGAGCCTTAGAGACTTTGAAAATAGCTTCAATACTGCAAACAAGGCTGGCAGGTCTGTGCAGGTTCTATCCTGGTTCAATACCCCTCTTCACCAGAGGAGAAAACCGCAGAATGGAAACAATGCAATATGACAGCTTCCACAGCTGGTGCTAGTGTTACTCAGCCCACAGATCTTTCAGGAAGAGCAACAGTGGATGAATGGTGTAAAGAGCGCTCAATCTAGGAAGTTCCACGACGTTGAAGAGAGTGCCCCCAGGTACCCCTGAGGATCCGAAAACTGAAGACATACCAGCAAATTCATCACCCTGAAGATGCATGGTAGCGACTCTGACTGATCTCTGGCAGTCCTTCGTTCTCAAGTCCAGACGCTGGTAAATCTGGCAGGGTGCTTGGTGCAGAGGTTGCAGTGACTCAACCCAAAGCCCTAACATTAAAATGCTGAAATTCGGTTTGGCATCCTCCCGCAGGTGCTTGACGTCAACGACGTCCTTGCGGCGCTGAAGAACAAGACGGCGGACTTTGCCTACGAGCACACGGACAACGCTCTCAGCTGGTACCTGGGCCAGAACAACTTCACGGCACAGGTGTTTGCGGGGGGGTTGCTCGGGGGTGAAGTCGGGCTTGCCGTCAACAGGAGGAACAATGTGACGGGGTACGTTGACGTTGCGGGGCGGGCGTTCCTGGTGGACAGCACGACGTCGGGCCTCGTGACGGACCTGTGGAAGATCGCCGAACTGAATGGGATCAACCGTGAGGGGCCACAACACTCTCCTTGTCCCTGCGTAGCATCTTGGGTGTTCTTGTTCTCGTTCGATTCTCGTCGTGTTGAGGTTTTTGATAGCGTCTGTTTCCCAGCTGGGAGCTGGGCAAGTTGAAGATTGGTGCAAGGGAGTGCCCTGAACGAGCCGCACTGTTCCTAAAGGTGTTCCTGGCAAGAGCTGGAGAACTGAAAGATCAGGGCAAGGTGGTGGGATGATTCTTACATGGTGGCCATCGGGGCGTGATCTGCACAAGCATGTGCCTCAAAAGTTCGTCATGGAGAGTTGGAAAACCTGCCATTGACGTCAAGAGAAAGGGTTGGAGCGGTGAGGGATATTTATTGTCCCTGGTTGAGTGTCATTACTTTGTCCAAAATCACGTCTGCATTGGTTGAGGAAGGGAGCCGGATGGTTTGCAATCGAGCATGCCATGTTCCTGAGGAGCTTTGGTAATGTCGCTTTCAGATCCACCAACAATTTCCTCTCTGCTGAGGATGACAGCACAGTGGCCGCTTGAAAGTTCTGAAACTTTTTCATCATCCATGGGTGCACTCTGCAGTGCCGCTGCCTATTGCAGCGCCCCGAGCAATCTCAGAGCGACTTCAACTCGCTTCACACCTTTCTCAGCCTTCTTTCTCAGCCTTCTTTCAGTTCTTTTCAATTGTCGAGATACTGAAAGCTCTTAACTCCTGCAGGGGGGACCTTCAGCCCCGCAGCTTCCCCTAGCGCTCAGGCGCGGTACGACTACCTGGTCGCCGGAAGGACGCCCACGGGCCAGACCGTGTTTGGCGCCATGCTGGAGGCGCCGTTCTGGAACCTCGCCAAAAACGTCAGCGACATCCTGCTGCTCAACCGGATTGGCGAGGTGGTGTCACCCATCCAGAGCACGGTGAGGGTCCTGAATCTTGACACCACTGACTCCATTTTAGTGATGATCATCCAGGGGACTGACGAATGGTCTTAGCCTTCCCCTCGAATCCGCCTGAAACTGCCAAGGGCATCGAACTTGACCCCACTGCTTTGCTGGTGTCACTTTATCAGACCCCGTCCCAGGCCTTGGACGCTGCTTTGGTAGCGTCGTTCCGTCCGAAGTGTGCGAGCGGAGGGAGCGCTGCGAGATTAACGGCTTCAATCGTTCGAGGGTGCCACTTCGATGATTTGAAAAAAAACGATCTGACGCCTCCCGCTGTGAAACGGGAATATGTAACACCATCCGGAGTTTGTAATTCAGTGACCTTGTCTTAAGAAATTTGATGCCTGTTCACAAGGAGACGGTGATACTGGCTTCTGAAATGCAGCTCGAGGCCATACATATTTCTTGAAGAAATCTGCCTTCCATTCTTCCCGATCTCTGCCAATGTGCTTCTTAGAATTGCCTCAAAGTTCTTTCGGTTGATCTTTGTCCGCCAAGTTCAGTATTCCACAGACTATGCTTACGAGACCCTGCTCGGTTCGATCCAGCCGGCCGACCTGCTTCAGCAACTCTCCCTCTGCACCCTGCAATCATTTCTTTGCTCTGATTTTGTGCATAAAGCTCAAAGCTTTTATGACAAGAATAGATAAAGAGCCTCTAACGCAATCGGACGACCAAACCGACCTCATCGGCACTCATACCTCCGGTTCTTTCTTCGAGCATCTTCGCAAGAGCTGCTGAAGTCGAACCTTGAAAGCTGGATAGGCGACCATCTGTGGCTCTTGCACAAGCTACTGGATTCGACCGTATATCTCAAACGCCACCGCCGTACTTTCTTGACAATACAATACGTGAAGCATCTTCCCAGGAGCAGCATCGCTCTTCCGAATCCGCCCCCAAGGTTGCATAAAAGATCATTGAAAGATCAAGCGGAACGATTTTCAGAGTGGAGCACCGTTCAAAGAACGGTTATCTTAAACGTTGGTGCATTTTGCAGCGAAAACTGTCCTGTTGTTTCATGCCATATGCCAACCGATTCAGAGCACTTCGATCACCTCCGCATAACGAATCCCCCAAATCTCATTTTCCAAGGTGCATCGTTTTTTGACATCAGACATCCCAATGGTTTCAATCAGTCACAGGGTGGTATCATTACCGCTCAGTGTACCCATTCTTCGTCTCCAGGTATTTCCTCTTTCCATCAGGTCTTCCATCGGTGTCAGAGCAATCCGTCTAGGAAAAGGGTTGATCCGTAACCGCATACTAACCCCTTTTCTTCCTCTCCAGGTGTACGTCCTCGACCGCACCCGCAAGACCGAGCTCAACGCCAAGATGGTTAACTTAACCGCGGCTCTCATCAAGGCCAACCTCTACATCTACAACGCGACCAACAAGGCCGCAGTCATCAGCTTCATCCAGACCAACAACGTCCTGAACCCAGCGGTAAGCGCTAGCATGACACGTGGCAGGTATAGAGAGGGTCTCTCTTTTACGTGACACGTGGCAGGTGGAGAGAGGGTCTCTATTCTACGGTGCAAGTTGACCCATACCTACTTGTCAATAATCGATGGTATGGGTCCGTTACTGCAGCGGAATGCATCAGCGCCCATTTCCCTTTTCCCGTTTCCCTCGTTTCAATAGCAAGTGGCAGGTCGAACATCGTTGTCTTGCGGCCCACCTGTGGGGCGAGTGGGGATTGTAGAGCCTGGTCCCGTTTCCTTTTTTCCACAAATCCGGGTCTCCATTATCAAGCACTACAATGTGGCATGCACCCGCACTTACTGGTGTCTGCGTCCTGGTATTAGTGTAACTCTATACTTTGACACTGACAGTCCGATCGTCGAGAAGAAGATGGGGTTGAAAAGGTTACTCATCCGCGCACCAAAAACATCTGGTATACGGTTTGACGCAGACCTTTGAATTCTCCCCTTCAAACCTCGCGGCGGATTACTAATAGGGCCAGGTCATCCTGTCTCTCGATGTTCCGGGATGTTTCCCTTTCACGGAACGAGTAACCTAATGCATAATACCGCTTTTTTTGCCGACCCAGGTCGCGGCGGACTACTACCAGAGCTACGTGGACGGCATCCAGGGGTCCGTGTACGCACTGCAGCTGAGCTTGGCCGGCACCGCCAACACCATCGCGGTCCGCCAAAACTACGACCCAACGATCCGCAACGAGAATGCCAACTTGTTCGTCCAACCTTCGACCGGGACGTTCTATGACGATCAGATATACAAGGCGGCATATGCTCTTGCAACGCAGAGATAGTCGAAACTGCCTTATTTCTAAGTACGGGGTCTTTTCTACGAGTTGATAGCTGTTGCGGAGTGTTTGAAACTTCAATTCCCGCATGAGGTTCGAGGTTGTTTGTGGACGTGATGAGTAACTTAAAAGCTTTTCAGACGTCGGGGAGTTCGTCAAACTTCCATTCAGGACCAACTAGTTTTCTATCCTAGTGCAAGATGACATCGAAGGATCGAGTTATCTGCTTACATACAACTGAACGTACTGGCACATGTGACGTTGACGGTCGAATTTAGCCACTAAACCATATTGATTGGCTGTAGACCAACCACAAACCTCAGACCCCCGGGCTAATAGGCTCGTTTTGGTGGAGGATCCGTCATTTGGCGCGTAGCGCGGGCAGCGTAGTCTCGGTATCCACCATGTTTGCACCATCAAAATATTATTCTGACTCCACAACAGAGCTTACGTTCTTTTAATCTCTATTGAAGCACCCTTGCTGTATAGGACGGCCTGCACTGTGGGAAGCAGTAAACATTTGAGTTCAGCGGTTGAAGTGCGGGCCCCTACTGCGGTAGAAACTAGGCCAGGCCCGCTGATTTAGTGACCGGGGGCCCGTTGCCATCGCGGTGCTCATTGGGGGGCGGCATGGTATTTACTTCGATCATTGAAAGGCGAGCCATAGAGTGTCTAGCTAACTTCCAAATCTTCACATGCATCCAATCGATGCACAGATTAAGCCTGACTGTAAGTTTTCACAGTAATCTGCTGGCCCCAGCAATATGATCAACAGAGATGCTTGACCACAATGCTTAAGACAACATCCAAACAAATTACTGTTTCAAAGCTGGTTGTCTCATTTATCAGGATATTGCTAGAAGATATCCAAACGTGGAGTAAAGCACTCCAAACATGTTTATCTATATGACAGATTTGTGGTTTGCCTGTTGTGCTGGCCGTGTGTTACCAAAGAGAATACATATCCGTACAGTATCTCTCAGTATCTGTATTTCGGCCGTACGTGATTTATTAATTCACGAATATCACAACTCAGCGCGAGGCCGCTTTTCAATATAGTAATGTTTGTACACAATATATTGTGTGTAGAATGCGATGCGCGAGCTAGAAATTTCATGAGGCGTATTGTTGGCCCAATTTCGAATATTCGGTTGCATTCAATCGAAATTGTGCATGTGGAAGTTATGTAACTTCAGATACTCGCTCAACGCGAGCAATTTACATTTATACAGTAAAAGTTTCAGCTATTGTTAATATAAACGCATTCTCAATGAATTTTGCACAATTATAGTGACGTATGGCCAGCTTATAGTATGCCCAATTTAGATTTGTAACATACCATGTGACATGGTGCAAAGGTGTCCAATTATCATATCAATATAGCAAACGAGGAACACAATTTTTACCTTTCCTCGGAGTATTTATGCCAACGCTTCAATTGTCGAGTGTTACCATGACATCATCAGAATTTCTCCTCTGTTTGCAACGGAAGGACACATAGATGTATACAGTCGACGGTACACTTGATTTAGTACACGTTGCTCACATTCAATGTTATTTTCTAAATCTAAGTGTACATTTGAGTGCTATGCACAAACTCAACTCAGATTGCGGTTATTCTAAAACACTTGCAACGCCAAAATCCGCTTCTTGCGTGAGCGTCAAACTCTTCTTCTCGTTTATTCTTCTTTCGTTTCATTTTTCTTTTCACACCAAAACGCACACGTTCGAAGCTTTGCATTCAACATACCTACAGTGACATGCTGCAATCATTTCGCTTTGCTCGAATACTCTACTTGTCCAACCCCTCTTGAGCGTGCTTCTTTGCGCTGTCGACATTCTTCCCAACCAAGTCTTGTCCCTCCTTCACCCGCTGCTTTGCGCCTGCAACAAAGATCGCCAACAATCAAAATCTCAATCTACCCTTCGGGTCACGAAACAAACCTCTGATAAAGTCAACTCACCAAAGTGCACCAAAATGCGACATGGGGTTGTATGACACTATCGTTACTTCTGTATCATAGCGAAGTCCAATACGCGAAAGCGGACACCGTCCTGAGAATCGGCCGTCAACCTCCCAAATACACTTCTAAACGGGTCAGTGTTTCACAACTGAACCCTTCAAAACGAGGCGCCACATCACACGCTGCTCTGATGTTCTGATCCCACAACCAAACATACTGACTTTGTTGGAAGGACGCAGAACGATTGCAACATCAAAATAACCTTTCAAAACGTTAGCTCTTTCCAAAACAGGCGATAATCCCAATCCCCAAAAAGGAAGTTCCGGAAATTGCCCTGCATTCTCAGGTCGCTAAAGCACGGAAGCAACACCTACCGTCCGCATCAAAGAATTCCTTGGTGTCTTGAACGGTGTCCTTGACAGCGCCCTTCAGTCGGTCGCCCGCCTCAGAGAAGCCCTTGCTCACGTTGTCCACGAACTCCTTGCCCTGGCTCTGAGCGCTTTCAGAAACGGCATTTCCGGCCTTCGAAGCAGTCCTCTTAGCCTTCTCGGTGTTGTCGACCAAGGCTTGGCCGGCGGAACCCTCAATTTCCGCTCCCAGGTTGAACTTCTTGGGATCCTGCGTGAAAAGAGAAGCGGAATTGAAGAGACTCAAGTATACTGTTCTGCACAACTAAATCGATCGAAGATGGATTTAGATATATGTTCTTGCTCCAGCATTGACGAGAAATGGCGCTTTTGCTCAATCCAGATCAACTGCTCAGGCGAATGTTGCGCTATGTTGTACAACTGCTGCTGCGGCTCTTGTGCACTGAGCTGGTGTAAACGTCAGCTTGAGAGGCACTTCACAATTGAGGCTTGTAGGCCTTGATCCGAACTCACAAATTCCATTGGCAGGGACATTGCGCAACCATTGGTGAAAAGGTCCAAATTCACTTCTGCCAGCTTTCCAGCCAATCCAAAGGCGCGAACCTTCTCATTGAGATACAGCCGACAGCAGAGGTCTTGCAGCAACCAAACTCACCTCATACTTCTCCGCAACCTCCGAGTTCGCCTCACGGCCCTCATCCCTAGTCTTCTTCAAAAGATCACCCGCGGGGTCTGTGACATCCTTGGCCTCCTTCTTGAGGTTCCCAGCAATGTCCTTCCCAGCACGCTGCATTTCGCTCGTTGTGTTCTCAACAGAGCTGCCAAAGTCCTTCCTGGCCTCATCAACCCGAGCCTTAGCCTCAGAACCACCCTCCTTGCCAAGCTTCTTGGCATCCTGTACGCCCTCCTTGAGGCCCTGCTTGGCAGACTCAGCAGGGGACCGGGTCTGAGACAAAGGAGGGAAGGTCTGAGTACCTCTGACTCACAGGGCCTCAAGAGCTGGGGCCTTGACAAGCACATTGTGCATGGAAGTTTTGTCGCACTCAGCATATATTAATGGGTATATGTTGAAGGATGAACTGAACTTGTAGGCTCAAGTGGATTTCAATGGAAGGGAATGTGGAGTTGCCAAACTTCATTTGAAAGGCTTTTTGGAACTTATTGAATAGGCTTCTCGAATTGGAAAGGCTTCTCATCCTTGTTGCAATCAAAATACACTCACAAGACATGTTCAGACATTTAGAGAATGACTACATAAGCGTGACTTACATCTGCCCTGATGCTCTGGGTCTTGAACCTCCTGGCTGGGAGAATAGCACGTGGGACACAGACAGACCGTCCCAAGAAGGAGCTGGAGGTGACGGCAGTGGTTCCAACACCTGCATGGATCAAGACACACTCAGCCTGAATCAACCGACTGCAAACAGACTGACGTTGTCCTTTCTTCCTTGGTTGATGAAAGCTCCAGTTGCGCACTTTACTGAGGCTGTTTCCCTTACCCAAGCTTATTCAGGAAGCTCACAGGACCAGACCTTCACATTGCACCACCATTACGAGCGTGGTCTATACCGCATATGTAAAGCTTCGATTGGACCAATTGTTTCCCACATTCAAAGGCAACGAGTCTTTCCCATATCAGCCAATTCACAACCTCTGAGCAAAGTGGATTTGTGCCCAATCGTGACACAAGGAGGATTATGGAAAGTCAGCATTCTAATTTGCAATACCTCATGCAAATGAGCATCCAGACATCTGTACAGGACAAGTGCTCTTGTTTGTACGCCCTTTTGATTTTCAATGCAGCTTGAAGGCAGAGAACTCACTCCTCTCAGCAATACCGGCCACCATGGTGGTCCTAGCCAAGCTTGTGCTTGTCATCGCCATTTTTAGTTAGAAAGCTGCTGCAACACCTTAGTGCAAAGATACGCTGTCGACAGTAGATGCTGATCGTTGGTGGTTGAGCTTCTCTTCACAACACTTGTGTTTGAAAGTTCCTTGGTTGTGCCACCAGAATGTGGTGATCTTCCTGTTCAAACCAACTGCACAACAGTTGGGATACTCCCTTCTCAAAAGCTCCAGCCCTGCGACCAGCTGGAGCAATCTGGCCTCCATGCAGAGAGGAGCTTGATGGCCGGAAAAGCCACCTCAGCTTGCTAGGCGCCATCTTGGCAGCTGGACACGCCACCGCTGTGCATGCACCGCGGAAGAATTGTTGACCAGCGAGTAGCCTTAGGAGAGATGTGATCCACCGTCCACGCTATGCAGCGATAGGAGCTAGCAACTAGAAGCGAGCGACGAATGCGACGCCGATCTGCGACCCGTCTGCGACTGCGCAATGCGAGTCACAGCTCACGGGTGAGAAACTTTCTAAATTCCCATGTGCTGAGTCAGCACATCCGACGGTTTACAAGATCTCGACCCGAGCCTCAAGGATTGTGCGGCCGGTCAATGATGAGCCAGGGGACAAGAGTCACAGACTGATTGTTCGCGGATTTCCGTATAAATCAAGGTAAAAATGCATAGCTGAGCACACAATCAGAGTGATAACTGTCGCTTTACCTGGCCAAATGTAGTCCGTCATAGCACCTTTGCGGCCGCAACTGAGCTTAGGTTTCGTAACTGACATCTCATCTCTCCAAGTATTACAAGCCAGATGGCCAATGCGCCTGGCGTCGTTCAGTCTGGATCAAATGAGCCTCTTATGTAAAGATTCTGCGTCAATCGTACATCGTGCACACTTGGCACGTAGATGTTGCACGTGTACGCGTCCAACTTGAAGACATCATGTGTCTTTCCGCACGCAGTCAACGCGTGGGTCCAATGAGCAGATAAATGCAAGTTACTTTGGTAAGGAATGCATTCCACACAGCATTCATTCTCGCATGTGGACATCACAGTCTCGTCAAACACGATTGCCGGCTCTTCATCGCTTGCATAGAGCGACAATGACCTTTGAGCAACACTCAACAGTTCGATGCCAAAAAGCATTTACTCTATACTCTCTGGACAGAAACGACGCTGATTGTCTGAAGTGCGAGCCGAATGGAACGTGCTTGCATGCGGTGCTTCGGTTTTGAAAAGCCTCGTAACTGTAACCGGACTTGCGTTTTGTTACGTTTGGGGAGCCAACCAAGCTCCAATGACGTAATATAGTCCCAGTCCCCAGCGTTTTCGCGCTGTCTCCCGCATGAGATGAATCAAGGGCCTAGTATACAAATCAATCGCTCAGATCGAAGTGGGTTACTCTCAGCACTGCTATATCAACAAGCATTGGCTCGGCTGACAACCAATTACTTTTGTGGGAACGACTTTCCTAAGGACTAGGACGGATAGTCGGAGTTTATACCGAAGATCCGGACTTTGTGCAGCATGGGAGTCTTGGCGAGGAGCAAGATACCCACGGCCAGGACGTTGAGCGCAAAGAATGGATGATCGTGGTAGTCCGTAGCATGGGACGCGATCAAGAAGCTGCAAAAGAAGAACCGAACGAGGGTCAGCAGGTTCAGAGGAGGATAACAATCAAAAACAAGCTCCGTGGAATCAGCGGAATAATGACTGCCAGGACAGACCAAAAGCCACGTCACGAGAGAGAGGGTACTCCTTCGAAGAACGCCTCGCTGGATTCAAAACCTAGATTGAAAGGCAACCGGTCGCTGACAGAGGCTGCAACAGAAAAGATGACCAGATACTTTGTAAGGCAATCGAGGCCATTGTCAAGTTGTCGGCAGATTGGAGAGGGGAAGACTAAGGAGGCGTCACAATCCGTCGCGAGCCTAACCAGCAAAAGATCGTGCCAAGACACTCTCGCTGTAAAAGAAACGACTCGTTTAATTCGTGCCTTCCATGTACCTAAAGCGCCCGTTTTCCTTTTTGCCGATCGCTACAAGCACGCACGAGAGCACCCAAGTCGGCGACTCTTCTTTTCTCACCGGCACACGGAGAGAGATGAAAGCAACGCTGATGTTGAACAGGCACTCCAGTACGTTTTCATTTGGAGCACAAGAAACCACCAATCTGAAGATGTCGGGCCGCAGTCAGTGCACAACACCGAAGATCCGATAAGAGAGGAAAACGGCTTTTCTCCATGCTGCTCAGCGCAGGTGAAACACAGCACAAAATAAGACAATGCAAGATATGGAAGCCCAAAATGCGAACAGATTCCGGGCAGCAGAATCAAATTTTCGAGATGTACTTCTTCGCCCGAGTGCCAGAAACGTAGAAAGGCAAGAAGAAGCGAGGACAGCATCATGCCGTCATGCGGGCAATTCTTTGTTTGCAATCACAGCAACGCGACAACGAACGGGACCCACGAAACTGAACTAAGAACGAAGCGAAAAAGGCGTTTCAAGCACCACAGCGACCGTGATCAATGCTTCCTTGGTTCCACGCGATTCATTCTTGATGGAGCCTTGCTCCATCCCACGTGATTCAGGCTTGATGGAAGGATAAACGAAAACCAAGAAAAGGGAGCGAAAAAGGAAGAACAAGCCACTCACAGCACCACAGGGACCGCGGTGAAGAACTTCTTGGTCCTCGTGAACTGTACGCCATCGTCGATCTGCTCCCACATGGTCAGCCGGTCGTAGATCCCCTGGTCCTCGCCGAACGGGGAGCCTTTCCTCCAGTGGAGCAGGTAGAAAGTAATCTGCAAACAAGCAAAGCGCACAGGAGGTCAGCAAAGGTTTGAGGAGGTCGGGAAACTGCTATGTGAGGGGCAGAAGTTTGTTAAAATGACGTTGGAAAGTAGAGGGGAATATGTGAAACTCAGTACAACAAAAGAAAGTACTCGTTCGACTAGGAGGAGTCTGTACACACTGTTAGCGAGAGGAACGTGCTGTTCGCAGCTGAGTCGGCAGGCAAGGACAGAAGAGAGAAGCATCTTCTGAAAGGAGAGGAGCTTTGATCCGAAAGCCAGTGCAGTGTGGACTGCACACAAGCGAAGACACATGAACAATTACGCAGCTTCGGGGAACGGAGGGGGGTTGGGGACCGTAGGAGGAATTTGACCTTCGTTTACACATGTGGTGTCTGGGAATGTGTGGGCAATTCGTGATGACGAAAGAACGATTAGAGTGGTGAAAGCTGCGGTACACATGCAATATCGAGGGGATAAAGGGGGGGATGAAGGGCACAGAACTGAGATGGGGTCAATGGGCACAAGAGATGAAAGGGCTGGGTTTTCTTCCGGAAAGCAGGAGAGGTGTGCCGTGTCTCAGCAGGACAAGTGCCTTGAGGCTGTGGCTAGGGGGGCTTCTGTTACTAAGACAGAGGCACAGATATACCTGTTGAATTGGCTCGTTCTGGGTGCATCACACCAAGAGGGGGGAGAAGGCAGGTGATGCTACGCCAAAAAGTCAATCCCTGGGCTTAGAAAGAGGAGAATGCGCAGGCCTGAGCTAAGGGGACTAGACGAGGGAGGCCCGCTGAGACCAATGAAGATTTATTGGACAATGAGCTTCCTATCTAATGTTTTAGCGCGAGTACGTTTCAATGTCAGACAATTGCTTTCATAGTCGTTCTGAAAAGCTTCCATAAGAGTCTTGTGAGAGACTGCATCTCGAGTTTTGACAGGAGAGCGTAACCCGTCACAGGCCTTAGTTGGTTCATTGCTCACACAGGATCACAGCCAGGAACTTTAAAAGGGGCACTTCTGAGCATGTCTTATTGTCATCACAGGCAAGGAAAGAGGCACGCAGACGCAACTCGCGATGATAGGGGATGCGAAGACGACAACCAAAGACTGAAGATGTCAGATGGTACGAGGAAGTCCCGTGGGGACACTTAACAACATGCTGAGAAGGCAGGCTGAGCGGAGATTTTGAAAACAACCAAACAGGAAAACCCCACGGACGTTCATGAAAAGACACAAAGCCACAGCATAGCTCAAGACCCCAAAGCTGAGTCACTCAGCTGCACCAAAGACGAGGTCTGCAGGAACTGTCAGCGAATTGAACAGGAGAACTATCAATTGACTAGGTTCCATTGGGGTGCCCATGTGAAATCATCAATGATCACGATCTGAAAGCATGCCATGTCTACCCAGAAGGACATGGCGATCGGAGTAACTAAAGTCTTGTAATTCTCTGCAAAAGTATTTAACATTCTGTCGCTCAAGGCTATGGCGGAATAATAAAAGGCCGGTGAGTATCTGTGCCAGACTTAATGAGTGCCACAGGCTTTAGCAGACGAACAGTGGCCAATTCACAGTGATCCGCTCAAACAGTGGCACCGAGACCAGCCCAGCATACGAAGGTGCAATTGGTCACATCACGCTATGCAAGGGTCACCCGATTGGGAAGAACTGTGTTATGTCTCCAGCATTAAATGGGTGCCTTAACTCAGAAAAGTGCCAACGCTTCAAGGGGCAACATGACCCCACAAGTCTAGGGTTCTTAAACTTCAACCATGGCAACATCCGAGTGACCTCCATAATCGACAAGGCTCGTGCCAGCGCAGGAACGTAAGTGAAATGAGCTGCGGTATCCAGAGAAAAGAAATGTTGCTTGGTGTTGAGTGCCTCATGAGGAAACCCTTGGAAAGATTAGTTTAGTGAGCCCACCAATAACATGCAAGAGTCTCGGGCAATATCAGCACACAGTACCACAAGAGCGAGTCGTCTCCATGATGCAATTACATGAAGCTCCTCCAATTCATTCTCGACCGAAGTCCTATCAGCCATTATGCCATCAGCTTAAAAACATCTGATTTGCCACCAAAAATTACCAGGAGGGGAAATGTTTGTTGCAATTTCCAAAATTCCAAAAATAACAATTGAGATCAGCCGCTCCTGACGCTGAAGCTCACCACAAAGTGCAGAAGGTGCACGTAGGTCCACGCCAGTCCCGAGGGCACACCGCCCAGGCTCACAAACAACATCCACACAAAGCCAATGATGAGCACGTACGAGGTCCAGATGCCCGGATACAGCAGCCACGACGTATTCTTGTTCAAGTCGGCCGGGGGGTCAGCGTGGAAAACAAAGGGCCCCTTAGGGAGGTAGTCCAGGCCCTTCGGAGACATTGGCTTCTCCCTATGGTGCAAAACCCCTGCCCCAATATGAGCGCTACTAGCTGCAGCCATAGACGGTGTGCTGGGAACACCACTGAGAGAGCTATCGACCATCAAACTGCTTTTAGGTTTATGTTTCAAAAACTTCGAATTATAAGTTTTTGGTTGACGTTCCTAGCCCGTTTTCTGGTGCACAACCAATTACTTCCCGGAACCGCCCTCTTTCCTTGCACAGCTTTTCCTGAACTGTTCAAATCTGCTCTCAGCACAAGCTTGTCTTGAGAATTTGTGATCCTTCCCGCATGAAATGCGTGCGCTCCTGCACACACCTTCACTTTGCTCAAGACGCTGCAGATTGCTTTTCGTCAGGCAAAACCAGCACTGCTCACACGTCCTAAGCTCCTTCAGCTTCCTGCACACACTTCCTTCTTCCTGCCATTGGTGCCAATTCTTCCTGCCAAAGAAAAGTGCGAAACCATGACACCACTTCGGACTGGGCGAGAATCCGCTGCGGTGAATTCGCCAGGTGGCTGCTCACAACTGCACCACCGCGTGCCACCTGTGCACTTAAAGTATCTTCCGACTCTCTTTAGACGTACCAGGTACGGTACCGATCGCGCTTGGTAAGTCGCGCTACGTGCCAGCGCCAGAAGCACCGATGGTATAGCCAGTCGAGATTGGCTAGTGAAAGCTGCGTAACGCGAGGTAGGGGTACGTAACGAATTGCTACCATGGGGCCTCTAAACAAAATCCGGAAGTTGCGGATGATGTGTCACGCCCCTCTCAATTGGTCAGACTTGCGCAGCGGCAAAGTTTCTGTGCATGAACTGTGCGAAGTTCTTTGTTCCTTCAATGTTTGGGGGTTCCTCGCTTGGTTCCTACTTAGCTGCTCCTAGCCCCATACCTGGGTGGGCCAAGGCTGTCCTCCCACTGCCAGATTGCAAGGCATACCTACTAAGCTTCTACAGGCACACATTGATTGTACGGAAGGCAACTCCAAAGCTTGCAGAAGGGTTTTGGTCGGGTGCCTCCTCGCTCCAAACTCCAGATTACAAACAAGACAGCACGTTGAGGTCAGAGTATCTGGCTGCATGCGTTGACGAGTAATCAATCACGTGAAGGGAGATGGCCCAAGTGGAGGCGGAAGCTGCAACCAGCAGACCCAACACGTCTGGGGCGGGGCCTGACCGAGGGGATGAATCTTCAAAGCAGAAATGGAAGGTGCTTGTGGGAGCCGGGGCCGTCGCTGTGGGGAGCTGGTTCCTATACAAGAGAATGACAAAGAAGAAAACCAAAGAAGATCATGTCGAGGCTGTGAAGAAATTGTTGGAAGGCGAGAAGGTAATGCTGCTGCTCAGCAAATGTTTGACAAATCCGGTAGTCTTTTATTCTTTGGTGAATATGGGACTGTATGGCTTGAATACGGCGCAAATGCTTACTCAGAGGATCCTTGTGAAAGTGTTGCTAAGAGGATTCGGTGCTAACGTTGTGGATCATGAAGCTGGTCGACCACTGCAAGCTAGATGAAACACCAGTGCATTGCTTTTCGTATCAAAGTTTTCCAAAGAAATTTTCTGCATTGACGCCTTTTGCCACAAGTTTTGAGGAACGATAAATCCTGCAGCGACATGTTTCTTCTGGCTTTTAAACATCTGCATCTGCTTTCGGATTGAAAGCAGAGTCGACCGCCGCATCCTTGTTGCTGCATTGCTGTGTTGCCCTCTCCCTATGCAGCAGGATGCTTGAAAAATTCGTTTCTAGCAAGTTTGGTTCTATCATTTTCTAAGCTGCAGAAGATCTATGCTACATCGTACTTGGGATCCAAAAGGCCGCACTAGTCTCAACATCGGCAGGTATCTGTGTGACTACCTTCTCATAATCACGGCAACAAAAGGTTAAAAGCAAGAACCTCTTTGAACCCTGTTTCGATATAATAGATTGATCAACGCACATAATTCATTTTCATTGACCTTCATTTCTTTCCAGTTCCTTCTTTCCATCTCACCTGTGGGATCTCCCAGTGCTCGGACCCTTGGATGAAAGGACTGCTTTCTCATTATGAAAAGTACTTTGCATAAGTATTCTGGTACATTTGTCATAGTCTGTACCACTTGTCCTGTTCAGGTGACACTGAAGAACGATTCAGATAAACTGACTTTAGACAAGTTAAGGGAATTCAATAGCAAAGGGATCATTCTCACAATCTGTGGTTTGGAACACTTGGACTAAGTTGGGGTTTAGGCTGCCGGGTAAGGGCCTGTGAAGTCTCGGCCTCCTCTGCAGGTGAATGTTGACCAGGCGTTGCACAGAGAGGACTCATTCTTCAACGTCAGGTAAGCGCCAATCTCAGCGCAACCACCTTTGACCCCTTTTTTTGCTCCCTTTATTTTGCAGAGCAATGAGGAGCAAGCACTGTCCAAGGACTGGTACAACGTCAGGTGAGGGTTTTGAGACAGGCCTGGTTCTCAACAGAGTTTTCTTTCCTCCTCTTATGCAGTTTTGTACATCCCAGGTGGAAGGAAGGGTTTCGACCATCAGGTGAGAGCAGAGAGGTTACCATTCTGGACGACCTGGCCAGCGACGGCGTTCAAAAACCAGCCAAAGCAAGCAAGCATTGAAAACCGCTCTGCACAGTGTTTGAAGCTAGTCTGGTGAAGCAAGCAGGGCAGAGTGGTCACATCAGGCATAAGGCTGTGGACTGCACATTGTTGAGAAATGATTTCAATGCTGGACAAGGGACGTTCTGTGGACGAGTCTTGATGGGGTGCAAAAACTTGAGATGTTCCTGAAGGAAAAAGTTTACAACTTAGAGACTGGTCGAATAATGGTTACTCTGAAAGCTGTCCTCGACTGTGCGAAAACAACTTATGCAGCATTAGAGTGGAGCAGTTCTCGCTGCGCGTGCAGTTCTCGCTGGGCCCAATTTTTGGCTCTTTAAAGAAGACACTTGTCAGTCACCAGTACGATGCTGCCTTCTCATCTCAAGGTCTCCTTGATTGCTGAGCCAACTTTGGTGTTGCGTTTCCTTCAGGATAACACGCCCTGATTGCCCTTGATTGCTTGGAGATTGATGTCATCCGGCAAATACTCGATTCCAGATCACATATTCACGGAATGCTGAAACTGTCCGCCTTTTTTCTGCCTAACGCCCAGCGGTCTGCCTGCAGATGGTCGGCCTGCGACACGGGCCTCAAGCTAGAAAACGCCCCCGTGCTGTATCAGGAGCAAACACTCGCCAATCTTCCAAAGCATCCCTATCGGCAGGTGAGCAAGCACGGCCCTAACTCTTGTTCTCTTCTGGACGGCAGGTATAGTGCCTGCGACACTGGGTTTAGGATGCCGACAGATGGGGGCCATGTGCTGTATTTAGAGCAGTCGTTTTGGAGGACTCCCGAGATGCCATACCGACAGGTCAGCAACGCTCTCGACTGCGGGAGCCTCCGTTTGTAAGCTCATGGTAGTGGTACTTGTCAACTTCAACGGTCTCTGCAAACGGAAGGTAGATCTAGCCTTTGTGACGACTGTTTCGCCTGTGTGCGAAACCAGCTTCAAGGCGGCTTGTGCATCAGCGTATACCAAAAATTGGTCAGAGACTTTGCTTCAGAGGACGACTTTCGTATGTATACTTGGCCACAGTCTCTGTCTTTGGGAATTGGTTCTTGTTCTACACGGGATATGAAGTTCAGGCAATACACGGCTTAGTCAGAATATGACAAGGCTTGATGAACCCATCCGTTGGTGCAGAGGTTCTATGTTGTGAAGCCAACCAGCTCCGAAAGGAAGGAGGAAGTGGTCGAGGTGAGCTATGATCCGGCAATGTTCTCTTCGTTTTGTTCTTCTTGAAAACACGCCGATGTTGCAGTGCAGACGTGCTTCTGTACTTTGGTTGGTCACCCCTTTCTAGTATTTCAGCAGCTTTTCAGTCTCTATCGTCAACAGATCCTGTCCCAAGTTAAAATGTTGGAAACCGGGATCCAGGTTAGACGGCGAGGCTATGTTGCACATAGTCGTTGGTTAGGATCTCTGCTTGCCTTGTATTTGCAATTTTGCAGGCTCTATGCGATTTGTTTCCATGCTTACACTGTTGGAGCGACCGACCCTTTTCCCATGCTGTGCAGCTCGCGCATCATGACGTTCTCAACCCCGAGCCCCTGAAGAACTGGTGCGAACGGCCCGAGTCAGACAGGACGGAGATCAACGAGCATGTAAGTACAACCCGGCCCATTCTTGCCAGACTAACTTCAAGGATTATGCGTTTCACGGATCCTCGACCTGCAGCTGTACGGATGGTGAAAGGGACGTGTGGATTTCGATGTTGTTGCAATGAAGTTGTATGAAACTTTACAGTGTTTCCCCCAGGTCATATCGATGACTGGGTGAAACCTTGAAGTCTCTTCATCATAACGGTCCAAGTTCGTTCGCTGTTCTTGTCCAAGACTCAAGGTCTATCTCCTGGTTTCTGGGTCCGAACCCCTTTCTTCACTCTTTGCGTCCCGTTCTGGTTGAGCCAGGAGTGAAGCTCCGTTAAAATCCAGGGCTCACAGTATGATTTCCTACGTTCAAGCTTGATCAGAATTCTAAGAAGTGGCGCATCAAATTCGCTGAAAGTAGCCAGGACCCGAGAAGTCCAAGGCTCCATTATCTGACACCTGAGAAGAGGCTATCAAAGGTCGCATAGTCTTTCAGCTCTATGAGCGCCCTCCCCTCGTTCACAGGACGTGGGCGCTTACGTCAGCAGCCTGTACCTAACCCCCTGCAAGCGGCATGCGCCGTGCGAGTATTCTGGCACGAATGCGCCTGACGGCTTCTCTCCTCTCGAGGTGAGCCTCACGCCCCTCTCCTTCCATCTCTTTGCAGGACGTCGGACGTCTGATCAATGCCACGTTCTTGCGACCCTGCGGACGGTCCGAAAAGTGCGCCTACACGGGCGGGCCGCCCGCAGACGGCGATGAGGACGATCTGCTGTCGGTGGTGAGCGCTGGCACTTCGGCTTTGATTCGAGTGTCGGTCTAGCTCTGTGCGATTCCCGTTCCGTTTCCGGTTCCAGTTCCGGCTCCGGCTCCAGCTACCCGTTTCACTTTATTTCAGACGGCACGAGTCAACTGGCCCGTTGTCTCCCTTCGAAAGGCCTTTTATAGGAAACCTCCTATCGTTTCGCCCTGCCGCCTGTTCAAGGCGAGGTAGTTTTTGGCGGAGCGCCCATCTTTTCTCAATGTGACAACTTCAGCTCACAACAAAAAATGTGTCAAACAATGACGGACGATGGAGGCCCCCCAAGGCCGCACGGCGATTTGAAGTTGTTCTGGAACATCACTCTTGAGCTTTCTTTATTTCATGGACGATTTGAAAACTTACAATGTTTCATTTACTCGAGGGTTTTGATGGTGTTGGAGGGTTGTTATCAGGAGCGGAACGGAGAGCGCTTTGTTTCGCCTTTAGATGTCAACTTCACAATCATGAGTCTACCGGAGAAACGACAAGGTTTCGCTCGCCGCGTCTTGCCGTTTTCAAACCCTGCAGAATGCCCTCTATTGGCCAATTTTGGTCACTGACCGAGCTTTCTGAAAGTGTGGCCGTTTTGGAAGGCTTATGTTAGGACTGAATGTGGCCCCCTAAAGTTAACACCGTTATGGAAATCTTTCCATTCTGCGTCCACGAACCTCTCCTTAAAGTCCTAACGTCATTGGCATCCAGGCCAAGCGTCCGACGAAGCTCAAGGCCCACTTCCATACCCGGCTTGTTTCCTTGTGCAGTCTGAGGGCAAATTACGAGGCCTGACGCACATGACCCTCAGCAAAGGGGGTGGCGTGAATGCCTGGGATCGAGTGGTGAATGCAGCCGAGGCGAAAGAGGTACGTCAGACATGTTGCTTGAGTAGAGCACACAACGGCTCCTTTCTGTTCCCAAGGCTTCAATCAACTCTATGTTACAAGAGTCCTTGTTTCCTGTCCCCATTCTCGTGGGAGAGGCCACCCGCGAAGCCAAGGCTCGGAGAGGTTAAATATCCTGACTGCTTTCTTCAGCTACAAGATTTTTGGAAATCTCAAAGGAGAACTTTCGTGTCGCCACGCGTGTTCTAATACCTTTTTTGTGCCAGCGCCTGCTTGCGCAACATCAGGAGTTCGTCCTAGACGTCCGTACAAGTCAAAATTCATGAAGAACTCACTTTGACTATGCGGATCTCCGGACACACACAATGTCAATTGACCGCCGAAGAGTCGTTGTGGCTCTTCGTTGGGGTCATGTTGGAGTGGGCTTTTTGCACAACGAGGCGCGATTCCCAGTTTGGTCTTGCAAAAACCTTTGTCGAGGTATGTGTTATGAAGGGGTCAGGTCGCCTCCTGCGTTTTTGGTGAACGTTGCAGAGATCGCAAGGATTTCACGCAGAAGGCATGTCTAAAAGCTTTTCTGGCGCGAAGTTATGGGGGAAGTGAAGCAGACTTGTACTGCTTGATTGCAGCACGGCAAGGCTGGGACTGCCTGGGGCCCGCACCCGGGCGGTTACGACTTTAAGCCCAAGAAGGCAGAGAAGAAGAAAGTAGAGGAGAAGAAGCCAGAAGACAAGAAGTCGTCGTACGACCTCCCCGAGTTTACCAGCAGGAAACCAGACCTAAGCAAGTCGATCGCGACTCAAACATAGGCTTGCATGACTTTGTCTTCACTGCTTAGGGTAGCACGCGGTCTTTTTAGAAGATGTACAGCGAGTATACTTCGATAGGAGGAAAGCCTTCAGATTGTCAAGAGAGCCTCTCAGTTGCGTGTATAACATGCTCGTGTACAAGGTTTGTTTTCAGGATAATTCTCCTACTTCGGTGCTGCAAGGAAGCAATCTTTTGATGCACCATCAGGACCTGATCTCCTTGCAATTCATGAGTATCTTCCAGAAGACAACTCTTTCGAGCATCTGAGCATTTTTGAGAAGAACTTCTTCTAAGTGAACGTGTTAGCTGGCGGAGCTCTCCAAGAATGTAATCCAGGTAGCACCTCCAAAGCCGCCACGCTTTGGATGAAGAAAGGGATGAAGCACCTCAAGTTGGTAGCCTGAATGTCAGCTGGACCGTTTTTGGTGATTGGTGAGCGTGGCCGGGTGATGTTAAGTCCTAGTTTGTTGCCAGACGTACCAGCCTGCGGGTCACATATGGGTTGGCACAGTCGAAGAGAAAATCTGGAAGAAGTTGTGCAGCGCGCGGCATTCCGTCAATCTCGAGTTGTCCGGCCTGCATGAATGACGGTCATATCTGCAGACCGTCTGCCCATGGTGGCCTTTATAATCGCCCCAGCACCGTGACACGGTAGGGCGGCCATGCAAGCATGCGTGTAGTATACACTTGGTGCAATCAAACCGCTATAGCACACGTACGTGAACAGCTATACAGCTGAGTTTGGCATGAATCACATCATTGCACACATGCGCACGGGTTGACTCGATCATGGTGTCATTGTCCAAATAAAAGTACGTACGTGTGGGGGCCAAGATGCATGTGCAGCTTCCAACATGACGGTCGCATTCTCGAAGTCTGCGTGGTGGGAGAGTTTTTCACGACTTTTTGACACGCTTTGCCTGATTGTCGAGTTACACAGCTAGTTTCTTTCATTGACGCTTTGATTGTAGAGGAATATGTGTAGGCTGCGGGTGACAAGCTCGCGTGACTCGGAGCCGCCCTGCAATCTATCATCGATCGTATGCGAAAAGCTGGCTTCGGTTCCATACTATGCAGGCCGGCACATCGGGCTTTGAATACAAAAGCAGGACAACCCGCTGAAAGGTCGTGTAGCTCCGCTATTTTCTGCATTTTTGCATGGCAAAACTTTTCGAGGTCCTCAGCACAAAATCAAATCGTCAGAATCGTCCTTACATCCCTTGACTTAAAGGGCCAGATCCCAACGACAGACGACAGAGCATGCTCTCCTTAACACTGAGCTTTGTGTTTCGCATCCAAAGTCTACACTCAGGGCCAAAAGGTCTGCTACGTGCATGAATATCGAAGTGCCATTCCGCACCCCTGAGTTCCTGAACGCAGGGCTCTCGTTGACCTTTAGGAAGCACCTCGGCATGCTTTGCTTTGGACATATCACGCAAACGGACATTGATGTCGAGACGAATCCACACTTCCTCCTTCCAATCCTCGGATCCTGCTGGGCTCCACACCGTTCTTTCACTCCCAGAAAACCAGATAACGTCCTTGTCGTGTCGGAAATTGTGGTTCTCCGTCGTGTAGATGGAAATCGAGTCTGGGTATCTTATGTACAACGGCGCTGGTTCTCCTGGAAGCAGGAAGAACACCTCCAAAAGAAAAACATTCATTTCTATCGTCTACAGTCCTTTTAGCGTGTCTCCATATCTTTGTGAGCCCCTCCTCAACTTCAGCAGGATCCTGAGAGATGAATGTTAGATTTATGGACCTCATACAAAGCAACCCAAAATCTCGTTCGCCAACTCCCCCATTCAGGTACATGCCTAACTCCAAGCCTTTCAGATCCTCTTTAGAAACGCCCCACATCACCAAGTGTCCCTCCAGCGACCTGGAAAGGAAGAGAAACCTAGTCTCTAGGCATGCAGCGCCCCCTTCTTCTCTGGGCTTCTGGTCATCAGAGCTGGAGTCATAGGATGCGCAGCTTGGCTTCCCCCAGCGAGCTTCTACCAGACTTTTGTATCCGCTGAAGCTGGCAACTGTGTCGTCAAAGGTCTTCGTTTCTGGAGTGTCATCACGCAGCTGACCATATCCAATGAGAACCTTCTTCCACAAGCATAGCTGTTCATCTGACGCGATATCTTGGAAGACTCTGCATACGCGCGTGGCTTCTAGAAAGGAGGGAGGGTCCTGTGCAGCGACCTTGCTCAGAATGACGCAAAGGACGTCAATTGGAAGCGAGTGTAGCCCTCTGTCACAGGTGAAACCTTCAGCGGATGGCGGCGGCATGTTGCAGGCGCCTTTACAATTTCAGAGTGACCTTGTTCGTTCTACTTCGGAGAGCGAAGAGCATTGAATTCTTGAATTTAAGGAGTGAGCGAGTCGCTGGCACTGCTGCGCCGCGCGCGCTGGGGCGCGGCCGGAAGTGCGCGGCCGCGGGGCTCAAACCCTCAAACCTAAACCCTCAAATTTACCGCTTGAACCAGCCATAAAATTTAAACCCTCCATTCCCACTCTCGAACCACCTCAGAACCACTATACGTTCAGCAGTTCGACGGTTCGTATCAGCGCAGCCCCGTCCACAGGTAACCTCTAAGACGAAGAGCAGAGCCTGAGAAGGCAGACTAGACGCCGCCATGACGTTGTCAGTAGGCGCGGGGGCCACAAGAGCGGCTGAGAACGGAAGCGCGCTGCACGAACTGCCGTTAGATGTTCTGGCTATCATCCTCAGCAAGCTTGCTGTGCAGGATCCGCCTTCCTTCATAGACGCCACGTACGCTTGCAGAACCTTCCAGAACATTGCTTCTGATGAACAGCTAAGCCTATGGAAGAAGATGTTCCATGAGCGCGAGCAGTTTCCTGCTGAATGTTCAGAAGCCAAAGCCTTCGAAGATGCGATTAAAGGCTTCTCTGGGTACAGGAACCTGGTGATAGTTCGCTGGGAGAAGCAGAAGAAGAAAGAACTGAGCTCTGTAAAGTCCAAGTCCGCCGAAGGCAACGCGTGTCCGCAGATAAGGCTGCTTTTCCTTGTGAAATCGCTGCAGAAAAGGATCATACTCTGGGGCGTCGCAAATCAGGAAGCAATGGAACCAGGTCCTGTGCGGCAGCGCACCTTGGGGAGTAATCAAGAGACAGCATTCGACTTCAACAGTTTGGAGTCTCGTCTCAAACTAGCTTCTCGCAACGCTGGCATGGAACTGGGGCTCGCGAACATCTCGACTAAAGCTGAGAAGAGCAGCTTTGGTAGAGTAAAGTACGCATTTGTGCTGGACATTATTTTCCTTCCAGGCGGAGCATCCGTTCCCCTGTACATGCGTCATCCTGGTCCGATGCTTCTTGACAGCTCAGCGTATCCAAACTTTGAAAAAGACAGAGGATTCTGTGTCGACGGGTGTGCAGGTAGCTTGAGCTCATGGACAACGGGGTTCAGAGTTTTCACGGAGGATGTCAGCCTCTCTTCTTCCCTGAGTGGCAGGTTAGAAAAGCCAGAAGGAACGGGTCATGAGCGTCGAAAATCTGGTCAAAGATGCTCTTTGAAAGTCAAAGATTGGAAGGTAGAGTTGTCTGCCACTTGCCGCTTAATCTCGAAGGATACCTCCTGGACAGACAAGATGCTCCTCAGAGAGTCATGGTTCCGAAAACGGATGATCGGTCGGTTGGCTTTCAAGGATGGCTTCTCGAGCTCTTTGTAAGTCCTAGTAACAGAAAAGTGATGAATGCAGCTCAGTGAGTGTTGAGGAAGATAGTACTCAAAGCTGACTTAGTGTGAGTGGCTTGACTATGCTGAAACCGGAGTCAGTGGCAAAATCTAGCATTTTGCAGCCGGATTTGGCTAGACTCGTAACAATCAACCCGTTCAAGTGTTTCAAACATACAAACTGACTCATTCGAGCATCACCAAGCTTGAAACTGCACCTGTGCACATGATACGCTCTATAAGCACGGTACTCTTCCTAGCATGCATTCTCGATGAAAGCACCAAACATGCGTTACGGTTCCATCGTTTCCCTAAGAGCAACTCAGCCAGTTGCAGGTGCCTGTACTCAGGAAAGTATGCAGTACTCAAGCAGTCACTTGCAGCTCAAGATTGTCCGCAATGAGTGAATCCGGGCAGAGTTGCCTTTGAAAGCACGAAAAGGACGACTTATAAGCAGCTGGGCTGTGATATGTGTATTGCCTTGCGCTATATTGATTCCAGAAGCTTTTCACTTTGATGGCGGCCACGTGTTTACCAGTCGTATTTGTTGGAACATTGACGAAACGGAAGTCGTCGGTTCCAGTACCTTCCATGCCTGACTCACGGTCTCGCACATTTATGTTTTAATTATGGATTCATTGTCTTCTATGATCAATCCTTCAATAACTCATATCACGTGCAATACCTTACATCATTTACCTTCTACCATGAAGTGAGTTAAGGCAAAACCAATTTCAAGAATGACCATCGAGTACGGTTCGCATGGATGGTGCCTTTTCGACGATCTGCTCAAGTGTTGATGATGGCTCTCGTTGTTCATGACATATTACTCAATTACTCTTGTAAAGATGCGTAAACCGGTCACTGTTCACTCCTCGTCCTCGATTACGTCCTCGTCCAACTCTTCTTCTCGGAAGTCTTCGTCAGGTTCTGTGTCCCTCATCTCGACGCCAACGGCCTGAATCGAAAAGAAGCTTGTGAGGTTAGGCAACAGCAATAGTCTTACACGAGACTCTTCGAAGATCATGGTACTACCGGGCTGAACCAGGAAGAAGAATCGTGTCAATCAATGAAGGGGGGATCAAAAGCTTCTTCATGAGTATTCCAACGGCGGGGTGATTGAAGAGGCATGCCAGCCCCACGTTTGTACAAGTTTTCAGGACTTGTGCAGGATGACCATTTTGTGGGCCATGGAAGAGGAGCCACTTGTAAGGTGCGTCTATCTCCGCTCACCCTAAAGCCTCTCATCTGTGTGAATTCTTACTGCTCAAGATTCGCCTCAAGGAACGATGGCACATGTGACCATATCTCGACAGGAAAGCATGGAATCTGACCTGGTGTATCTCCACAACCATCGCCTGCTCGAGAAACGGCGCGAGAACGATACCGCGCTCGCGCATCCGCTCCAGCAGTTGGAATGCCTGCGCAAGTCGTAGCGCGCAAACGATTCAATCTTCGCGCGAAAACAGTCCTTTGACAGTGGCAAATTTTCATAGTTACATGCGAATTGCATTTTACACGACAAGCTGCCTCGTCCGCCGCGCGGCCTCCGAGATCTGTGTCTAATCATTTTGCACGCTCCATAGATATGCCGTACTGCAGCACCGGGCCTTTGCTTGTGATTTTGAAGTTAGACTTTGAGGTTCAATCAAACGAATTATAACATTCCCGACTTTTTATCCACTCTTCTTGCATGAGAACACGCATCCAGGCCCGGTTTCGTAAAGACGCGTCAGCTTGCCGCTTACCGTTGGGTAATCGTTCCGGCTATAGTAGAGCTCGATGAGAAGCGCGTACACGTCACCTGCCCGGACGACGCACTGCGGAGCAGAAGAATCAGACTCGGTTATGACGTCACGCAGGGAATGTAGGCTGCTGGGAATGCAGAGGCTTCTTCCAGAACCCGCACTTATGCAACCTCGATTGCAGCCCCGTTCTCTTACGTCAGATTTTGCATTTTCTCAAAATGCATCTCTCGAGTCACGGGTGTGGCCAGAAGAAGTTCGCTCTTGGCCCCTATCAGCCTCACAAGTGACAGATCTATTGCATATCGACAAAATGCAGTCTACTGAAGTTTCTTGAAATCTCCCTCTAATCGCATCTCGAAAAGTGGATGTTTGGATGAAGTTTCTTAAATCTTCCCTCTGATCGCATCTCGGCAAAAGGCATCACGATGTAATTTCTCGGAATCTTCCATCTTCCTCTCTTCAACCCCTACAGCAAGGCAATTGAGTCCGTTCTGGGGAGGGCGTCCCCAGCGCTCACCTCGCTCTCTGCCGCGGTCGCCGGCAGCTGCTCCAGCAGCCGGTTGCAGAGCGCCACCGTCTGCTTTGGATCCTCTGCCACCAGCTTGCGAGCCTGCAATCAAGGATGCTTGCATCGTGAGCTTCCAGTGCAATCTGAAAACAGATTGAACGCAGTTACAGGGCTTGAAGGGAGCGGTTACAGCAAATCTGTCATTTCAAATCATTTACTCTGACGCCCCCGAGCGCACTCGAAATGGCACAGAGTCGCCCCCGGGCCTCAAATGCGTCATCACTTGGACAGCATCCAATTTTGGTGGGGCCTTTTAAATCAGTTGACGCAGAGATTCACAACCCGCTTCTGGTTCTTTGAATCATGCTCTTATCAGCTCTCTCGAGCGGAGCCCTTTCAGGCGGAAGAGACCCACCTGCACGAACTGCTCGACGAGGGCGATCCGCGCGGTGTGGTCCGCAACGAGCGCGTCGCGCGCGGCCGCACGCGACTTGCTCGCGTACTTTAGCGACTCGCGCATCGCGCCCAAGGCCTGTGATTGGAAAGAGGCGGTATGTGAAACCGAAGGAACAGCTTTTTTTCGCTCGCTTTCAAAACATCGAGGGGCGTACATGAAATTTATGAAACGAGCCCGCAGCCTCGCCTTCTCATAATCTTGAGTAGAATTGGAAAGATCGACTTTGAGCAAAGATCCATTGTGAGTGTAGCAACTAGGAGAAAAGAGGAGTCGCCTGAGACCCACCCACCTGCAGGACTCATCATAGATAATACAAAATCACAAACGCTCTGAGCCAAGCAGGTTCAGGAGCGCTCAGACCCAGTTCAACCGCGAAAAAGTCTACTAACTCGACCCACAAACGCTCTATCCCAATCTTCACACAAGCCCTAACCTTCTCGTACTTCCGATACTCGTCGATCTCGATGACGGCGCACGAGACGAATGAGGCAGCCAGGGTCAGAAAAATTCTAACCCACAGATGCTCTACTACAATTCAGCCCACAAGAGCTCTAACCAAACCGAATCCAGAACCATTTTGGACCAGAGTCTCTCGCCTTTTCGTAGTCCCGGTGAACTCGATCTCAATGATCGCACGCGAGTTGTAGAAGGTCGCCAGCCTCTGATGCAGCTTAACCCACAAACGCTCTAACCCAACTCAGCCCACAAGCGCTCTAACCAAACTCAACCCACAAGCTTTGTAACCAGATTCCCTCACCTTTTCATAGTCCCGGTACTCGTCAATCTCGATGATGGCGCACGAGTCGTAGAAGGCGGCCAGGCTCTCGACGGCGCCCGCCTTGGTGTAGAACTGCACGATGGCCTTCATCACCTCGCCGTCCGCGTGCCAGTCCAGGCTCTGCAGATAGTTGGCTGCCAGCACGTACAGCTCGCGCTGCCTGCGAGTTGGGGCTAGGTTACGTTGCGAAGTTTATGAAGTCAAGGCTAACGAGTTTTGGGTTAGGTCGGGGTTAGGTTGAATTGAGCGGGTCAAAGGTCTTGCGTGCCAGTCCAGGCTCTGCAGGTAGTTGGCCGCCAGCACGTATAGCTCGCGCTGCCTGCGGGGTTAAACATTGGGTTTCATTTGACATCAGAGATCTGGGTGTTGGCTTTTAGGTCTATGGTTTAGGATTTGGGGTTAGCTTGGACGCCTCAGGGCCTTGGCGTGCTAGTCGTGGCCAAAGTCTCTGACCGCCAACGCGCACGGCTTGCGGCGTTTGCGGGGTGCCAGCCTTCACGTCGTTTGAAATTAAGGTTCCATCTCCTTGGTTTGAAGTTAATCTTCTCAATCTCCCGGGTTCATTTTTGAGTGGTTAAGGAGGGTATGATGTAACAGTCTGTGGTTCAAGACTTTCTGCGTTTGGATTTGGAGCGAACGAAAACAAGTATTTGCGTCGCTTTCTTGCAAATCCTGGCTGTCCTTGGATAAGAATCTCAGATGCCGGACCGTTTGCCACTCCGCGCGCTCAAAAATGGTGACAACGACAGATCTTGCTGCCCATGCTTTCGGATACTTACATTCTTCGAGGCCGTGCTCTGCCTAACGTCAGCTGAAATCTCTAGTTTCCATCTTCCCGGGTTTCTACCCGACCATCTTTCTGGTTCCCCCAGATATGGCGGGGGATTGAGATACAGATTTTCAAATCGAGGGGCGCGGTAGCTGCTTTGAATCAGATGTTTCCGTCTGAACAAGCACAGGCCTGACGTCAGTAGGATATCGTTGCAGAATGTGTTACGACTCACCTGGATACGTTGGCGAAGAAGATGATCTTCTCGGTGTCCCCCGACTTGAGCAGCGCCTCCATCGCGCGCGCGCGCTCATTCGCCTGCGTGAACTTCTTGCACGCCAGGTGGAAGGAGCCCTGCGCCTCGCAGCATTCCGCGATCCGCCGGATCAGGGCGGAGCGGAATCCGCCAGACTCGCCGCCTTCAGCCTTCGGCGGAGTCATCCCGTCGGCCATGCTCTCAGTGATAACGACGTCATGCGAGGCGCACTGCAAAAAAGGGGATATGCTATAGGGGATGGTTACCGTTTTGGAGGAAATTTGATAAAGAGAAGGATAGGATACGTTTTTTGACGCGGACAAAGCTGCCCGGAAGTAACGACTTTATTCAAGACGTTTATTGAAAGAATGTGATTGCTTGAAAGGACTACTCTTGAGAAAGGTGCGTTTTTTGATGTTCATAAAGAACCATCAATGAACGATAATTCAGTGGAGCTTCCAATTCCGCTGAAAGTAAGCGGAACTGGTAAGTCCAAATATGTGCATGGCAAATTGCAAAAATGGAAAATCAATCCTCCGAGCCTCTACCGCTAACTCGACGGCACAGGCTAGTTTTTCTTGCTGAAGGACAGCTTTGTCAACATTCCGGCGGGGAGACTGGAAGGCAAGCGACTTTACTCGGTTCGATAATAGTCACTTTGATCCAAAAGGTCCTTACCAAGTCGATCGCCTGCTCGAAGCTCTTTCCGGCAATAAGTAAATGCACCGCCTTTTCGTACTGCTCGTGCTCCATGAAAAAGTCCGCACACCTGCGCGGAACCGTCCGGCTGCACTTCAACATTGGCACTTCACAGAATGCTTCAACCGGAGTCAGTGCACGCGATTTCTGATGAAGGGGAAGGACTGCCTTTTGAGCTTTGAAAGCATTTTCCCTTCGTTCCTCTATCACGTGCTCTGGAAGAATTATGTCTTCTGTCCTGTTTCGCCACCGTCTGGCTCTCGTAACAAGCAGGCATGTGATAAGCCAGCATAATATAGGCACGGGGAGTTCAAAGGTCTTCCAAATGTCCTGTAAATAAGCATCAACGCGCAGATGTGTATTTGAATCCCCCGCATTAAGATAGAACAATCCTCCCGTTGGTCACACAATTCACAGCTCACACAATGTTTAAGGAGCCGGTCGATCATGCATACCTCAGGGTTCTGTTTGCCACGGCTCGATTCAGCAGGCACAACTCATAGGCAGTCTTCTACATATTACTTTAGAGTTCTATGTATCACGGCCAAAATCAGCAGCAATTTGTTAAGAGTTGGAAAGCAATCCCACCTTGCTAGCAGTGCTGGGTCCGCATCCTCCTTGAGATTGTCCGCAATGGTCCGCAGAGAGTCGAACAACTGGCCCTTGAAGCATAGGTCGATTGCGCGGTTCAGGTTTCCGCCCTGAAAAGAAACGAAGCTTGGTGAGTTTTGCTCACGAAGATGAGTGAAAGTTGAAGGCTTTCGAGGCGCGCGTTAGCGTCCCTGGAAACGAGTGCCGTTATTTTCCCCATGAGTCAATAACAGACTAAAGACGGAAGGCAACAGCGATAGACCTTTGCGTAGAGACTGACCGGCTCCGAATACTCGAAGTCGCTTTTTCGTTGTCACGCCCATCCATCTCCCTTAGGTCTTCTCAGTCTTCTGTCTCGAGATCCAGGATAAAATCCGAAAATCTCTTGAAGAGGGTATCGCGTGTTTAGCTCTTGCATAGCTACATAACGATGAACAGGGCGAGGTTCGATGAGGCGGCGCCACCCCCGGGGGGCAATCCGTAGGCGCAGAGCAACTCCCACCTTTTGGTACAGTAGTACGGCGCTGTCGTACGCCCCCTTCTCCTCAAAGTACCGCGCTGACGTCAGCGCGAGCGCGCGCGTGCCCGCGGCCGCGAGCGACAGCAGCTCCGCGTCCATTCCGTTCCGCTGTGCAAGCCGCGCCGCCCGGCTGACGCTTTCCGCTCGGGTGAAGTAGCGGATCGCGCCCGGAACGTCGCCCCGGGCCTCCAGCTGGCGCGCAACGTGGAAGGCGGCCGCGCGATCGCCCGTCGCGTCGACGAGCGCGCGCGCGGCCGCGAGCTCGCCTTGGAAGCAGTGGATGCGGACTTGGGAGAGGACGTCACCGCTCTGCAACGAAAAGGAGGGGTTCGGTGGCTGGTCTACTTCTCAACCGACTTGGATTACATCTGCCCATATCCTTTATACCGAGTCTTTCTTTGATCTGCTTCTGTAGAGCCTTCACCAACTGTACGCTCAAGTTGTCCACAGAATCTTTGATTGCGACGCAACTATGGGACTTCCTTCGATTGCTTCATAGAAGGTGCCTGACAATGCCTCCCCTTTGCGCTTCTTTCTTTTGCAAAGTTGCTAGGCTCGGCACAAGACATGACGGGAAGTCGTCTGTAAGCAGGAAACGGTTTAGCCGGGACCAAACCGGATTGCTACAATCAGTCCATTTTCAGCTTGTAGGAGCAAACGGCAGCTTGAAGACCGGGCAACGAAAAGACAGGGAACGAACGAAGAGCAAAAAACGGAAGAGTATTGGAAGGGGAGAAGTGCGGAAAGCGAACAAAACGAGGAGTTATGAAGGCTGAAAACGCAATAGACAGGAAGTGGTTCATCAACGGACGGCAGCAGTCATTAAGTCCAACCGCAAGCGTCGTCCACAAGCAATGGAATACTTTTGGGCTTTGCCAGGCAATAAAGCAGTAAATGAAGGAAACGCCCAGGAGTAACGTCCCATAGGAATAGGGACACCGGAAGTCGCCGTGAGACAGCATTGGAGCATCTTGTCCAGGTTGCCGTGGCTCCGCGTCGTTGCAAAATGGATCTACCTATAAGCAGAATAAAGAAAGGTAAAGACCGGAACGGAGGGCGGCCTCACCCAGTGGTAGCACTCACTTCGCCTTGTCCAGGTTGCCGTGTCTCCCCGTCGTTGCGGAACGGAAGGACAAGCGGATCAAAGCAAGGCAAAGGACAGTCGGAACGGAACCGGAACGGAACCAGAAGGGAAGCCCCCCCGTACCCAGTGGTAGCACGCAAGCCCCTTGTCGAGATTGCGTGGCTCCGCGTCGGTTAGGGAACGAATTGACAGGCATAACAGAACGCAGACGGGTACAAGAGCGGAACGGAACCGGAACGGAACCGGAACGGAACCGGAAAGAGGGACGGCCTTACCCAGTGGTAGCACTTCAGCGCCTTGTCGAGGTTGCCGTGGCTCCGCGTCGTTGCGGAACGCGGAGACAAGCGGACAAGCGGAATTAAAAACACGAGGACAAGAGCAGAACGGAACCGGAACGGAAGCCCGCCTCACCCAGTGGTAGCACTCGAGCGCCTTGTCCAGGTTGCCGTGGCTCTCGCAGTACTTGGCCCACCACTGCGTCAGCTCCTTGTCCTGCTTCGCCGCCACGTAAGCCTCCAGCTCTTCGATCTGGCCAGCCTCTACCAGCAGCCGCGGGACTTCGTGCCTATCACAACGGGGTTAGGAAGATCCGGGTTGAAAGTTGTTATGGTTGAAAGTTTACGGGGCTTAGGAAGTAGGGTCTTCTAAAATGTAAGGGTGTTAGGATCTGAATAAAAGCATTCAGACGGCCAGCCGCCACCGGCAAGCGCGGAACCTCGTGCCTGGCAAAACGAGTTTTAAGGATTATCCGGGTTAAGCGTTGTTCAAGTTGAGGGTTTAGGGGGCTTAGGACGAAGCGTCTTCAAAATATTGAAAGGGTGTTAGGATCTGTTTCAGAGCATCGAAACGGCCAGTCTTCACCAGCAGGCGCGGAACTCGTGCCTGCCAGGTTTAAAGATCAGGATTTAAAGACGTGTCTTCAGAATCCAGCTTGATCAGATCTACAGGAAATCAAGTGTTCGCGTTCTTCAATCGCTTCACTCTGCCAACACGGCAATTTGTGCCTGGATTGAAAGATGCAGAAATCAATGGTTGAGTGCAAAATCCTCCGATGAAGGATCTTGTCAGGGTTGGCCAAAACAGAGCAATCATAGGACCAGGAGGGAATAAGGGGTTGGCATTGACAAAGTCCTGTAACCCAGAAGTTGAAGCTCTCCCAACAAGTCTGCTCCGTCCAGCTCTTGCGTAACACGGACACTCCGTGTTCAAATACTTGTAAGTCGTTCTTCAAAATCCTGGTAGCCTCACCGGTGCGTTCCGGCCTCCTCATACGCCTTGATCGCCCCGTCCAGGTCGCCCAGAAACTCGAGGTGCCGCGCAAAGCTGTGGTGCGTCGTGCGCAGATGCACCCGGTCGTGTTTCCCGGCCACTTCCAGAGCGCGGCTCCAGTCGCCGCACGACTGGAGCAACCGGTTGGCCAGGTCCCACCGGTCGCACGCCACGTAGAGCTTGTGAGCGTCCTCCACGTGTCCCAGGTGCAGCGCGACGGCCGCGATTTGCGCGTCAGCCTCCTGCGTGGTAGGCAAAAGAGATTGAGATTTAGAAATAAGAATATGGAGCGCTTTTTTGGAAAAACGACAGTGACTGGAACTCTCATTGGCGCCGACGTGGAAAGAGAATGCAGCTTGAGAGTTTTCATCAAGAAAGGATCAGTATCATCAAAAAATTCCAACCGGCTGGAGAAAAAATTCGTTGTCGAGAGGGTACAGATCCCTCCCTGCATTACGCCAGCATCCTCTGCGTGTCAAAAAGGAAAGTTTTTTTAAAACTCATTTTTTTCCTCCTTTCAAAACCCTGGTCCCACCTTTTCTCTTCTTGGCTCCTTCAAAGAAGTTCTGTCCAAGCACTCGTCCGACGTGAATCGGATTCTAAACTCGAAACTTGTACTGGATTTGTATACCGCGTTCTGGATTGCGGTCACGCCGATGATCTTCCGTTCTTGACTCCTGACCTTTTCCTTCTCCTTGGCCTCCCGCACTGCGCGAGCCGCGCGCGCGTGCCCCATGTTCCCCAGGCAGTGCTCCGCGACGTCGAGGCGGCGCGTCTTGACGCAGACCGACGCCATGTTCGCCCACACTCCCGGATTGCGAATCAGCTTCACCGCTCGGTATGCTTCGTCCATGTTCCCGACCGCCATCTAGAAAAATCTCGACCTTCAACCCAAACCTAGATATTGGTCTTCAAGAGCACACGGCGAATAAGTCTCAGGGCATGGTTAGCTTTGTCCATGCTGCCTGTTGACCGCCAACTTGCTTCGTTTTGCATTCTGAACACTTTGCTTCGTGAGGAGATTCGACATGCGCAACGACTTCCGTGCAACATCCAAGAAAAGATATCGAATCAAATGAAATATTCCTTTCTCAGTTGTACAAGCAACAGCAGGCACTTGGCTGGCTGCTTGCTGCGTTTAATCTGTACTTTAAACCACTGACTGATTACTAAGATTAGCGGCACCCACGCTTTCTGGAAGATTTATGTGGGATGTGCGGCATGTTTGGACGAAACCTCGCTCTCCGATTCCACCATCGAACAGTCGCCAAACCTGCTCTGAAGTGCAAGGCTGCAGCAGAACTTGCTTGCTGGCCCCTCTCCTTCTACCCGAAACTTCGCGGCATATTTGAATATTTCGTTCACTTCGCAGCATGGGAGCCAGCTTCATCTCACCGGACCTGAAAAATCTAAGCACCAAAAGTTTTCAAGAACTTTATCTACTCTCTTCTTACCTGGTAGCTGAAGTCCAGAAGTGCGCGTCTCGTCCGCGCGTCGACGGACTCCATGCCCGCGAAATCGCGCATGGGCACGCGCAAAAGTGGCTGCGGGTTTGGAGGCTTCGATGCGAAGAAAAGGAAGGGTACGTGGAGGCCGACGAGGGCGCTCCAAGAAGGGTCCGCGTCGACCTGCGGCGATGAAGGAGCAGATCAGACTTCGCGACAATTTAGGAATAGTAAGCTCAAACCAAACGCTACAACTTGAACCTACAAAAACCGCACCCATACTCACCCTGAACCCCTGATTTGTTTCACCCATCCCAGGCTGGTGATCTTACAAATCTTGAGTTTACTAACCCTAAAGTGTCATTGCAACCGATCAGCGTTTCTGGGCTGCTTCATCTGGTGAATTGCGGGATTGCGCGCACCGACTTGTCCTTGTGTACCAAGAAGTATCATCTGTGGTTCGATTTATTTTCTGACAAGCACTGAAGACGTTTCATTCGCGTCTCTTCGCAGGCCACGTGCGGTGAACACTTTCTCTGGAGTCGTGCAACCTTCTTCTCTCTTAAAAAGACGCACACCTTGTCCTGGTAACCCGACACAATGAAACCCTAAACCCTTAGGACACTAAAACCTTGAGACCCTGAATCCGCAAATACCTAGGCTGTGAAGACACCCACCTTGTCCTGGTACAGAAGGCCGTGCTCCCCGGTCGCAAACAGCGTCGTGACTTGGACGTCCGCCTCGCGGCTGACGGTAAGGCCGTCCGGATTGGAGGCGTCCGAATCCTGTGTTCAAAAATGTCGTTTCGGGTTTCTGTTCCACGACATGTGCTTCCTACCAGTCCCAATTTCCAGGTTTCGGAAAGAATTGATATCTTACAAAGACGCCGAGCTTTGATGCCCACCAGAATCAACCTAGGAATGAAAATTGACTAGTCGGATGAAATTGTATCATCAATTAGAGGAAAACGGTTTACACTCTATGTACGCGCAGATTCTTTTCATTCCAAAACCTGGAGCATTTCTCGCCTTCCCTACACCTTGCGTTGGTATGAGAAGGTAGCGGAAATTGCGAAAACCAAAAGGACTTTTACTTACCGGCTCTGTTTCGACCGCGACCATCCGCGCTTCCTCCCCGTCCCACGTGTGGTTGATAGGTCGCCTGCGCGACTGCCTGTACACACCGACGTGGTGGAAACTCAATCAGCACCTTAATTTCGTGCAAGCATGGACAGTGTTACGCTGAGCAATTCCGCCTCGGTCGATAGCGGCGCAAGCTTTTGAAGAATTGCTTATTGAAACTGCTTCTTTATCAGCGTCCGATTCGCAGCGACGTGAGCGGAGCCGGTGCTGTCGATTCATTTCCCCCTGGTATAAGACAAGTTGAACTTTGGCAAGAAAGCCGAAACGGTTTCATTCTGCACTGCGGTTTGCGTCCGAATCCGTCACCAAGCGCCGCCAAGTGCTCTTCCCAGCCCTTCAGATCTTCCAATTCAGTGCGACCCATCCGATTCTGGAATTCAAAAGGCAACTTCCATCCAGAATGGCTTTGACCAAAGTGCAGCGAGCTCAAAAAGGCACTTCTGGAACGGTGAGGGAACCTTACTTGAAGTCGTACACTTGAAATGCATCCAGCTCCACCTCGTAAACGAACAGCCTCGAGTCGGGCCGCCGGGAGCCGTCCGATTCGCTCGCGAGCACGCTGACCTGCCAGATAAGAGACACGTGGCTTTCCAAAAAAGTCAGCATCCGAACAAAAGGAGGGGATTCATAAACGATATATCTCTCACCCTCGATTCTGCGGGACAGGACTGTTTTCCAGGGAAGATCCGGGACGCAGCAGGAATGATACTACGCCCTCACTTCCGCGAATGTCCCGAAGCGAAGGGCTTTTGCTTCAAAGAAACTACAGAAAACCGAATGCCAAAATGTTGAGCCATGCCTTGTCTTTCTTTTATAAGGTGCTTCTTTATTTATAGTCTTGACATCGTGCTTCAGATACAGTTTCCCCATAGCACGGCAAAGCTGCTCCGCGCCTATCGGAACTTCTACACAGGCATGGGTAACTGCTCCGTAGACACAACAAAAGGCGCTTTTCAGAGCCACCTCACCTTTGTACCCGTACAATTGCATCGGACGGACACGATCGGCCCCGGCGGCTCCGGGCCCATCTCCACCCTCCGTCCCGCGCCGGGGCCGATCGGCTTCAAATCTCGGCCGTTGATTCGCCACAGCTTGATGAAACCTGTCGACGTGGCAATCGCCAGGGTGTCCCCATGCACGTCGACGCAGGAGGCGCTCCCGTGCGCCTCGTCAAGGGGCAGGGTTTGCTTAACCGTGCCCTGCCAAGCGGGTTAAGAAGAGTTGAGAATGCATACTAGATGCTTTGTGACGAGTCAAAGCTTGCCAAGCTAGACGAAGTGGGAGTAAAAGATCCTTCTTGGACGTCTTTAAAGATATACACAAGTATACTGATTTCTCTTCATTGGATTGGATCAATCTTCATTGGCTCGATAGATTCAAAGGTTCCATTCAATGAGCCGACTCACTGTTTGTCTGTTTGGGTGCAAAATGGACTCTTGCAGTCACTTATCTCCGTACCAGAACGTGCTCCTGATCCTTTTCCATGAAAAGACACTTGAACAGGCGTCCGATTGCAAAAGTCGACAGAATGACTATTGGGGGTGCGAAGGAGGTGAAGAACATTTACCTGCATCGAACATACTTCCACAACGTTCCCTGCCGTTCGGTACACAAACTCTCGACCAATGGCGCAGCATGCTCCCGGCCGGATGTCAAACTCGGCCTGCCTCTGTATGCCCGCCACGTTTAGCTCGTACACCTCAGCCTTCTGCTTGCCCCAAACCAGCGCTCGCCCTTCGGAGAAGTCGACTCCAGTTATCTGAAGCGGGCTCTCGAACGTCTGCGGAAAGGCCATGGAGGTAAAGTAAACTTCAGAGACTTTACAGAAAGTTTCCGAACAAACTCACGGAGTGGTACGAAGGGTGAGGAGAGTTTTGACCTAGGCATCTAGTTCAAGTTGTTGGGAAAGCTGTAGTAGAGCTCGAGAATATGGTTTCCGATCCCGGGCATTAATCTCAGTTCGTTATGGTTCAATTGATCAGAGCTTAAAGAGAAGATGAAGGTTCGTCGCGACAGAGGAATTTGTTCTTGCGGTTAAGGTGAGAGTATTACAAAGGTTCCTGGCTCTTGATCTTGGGACGAACATGTAAAAACATGGGAACGCGTTCTGGTGCGTCCCCGTAGCTCTTCCAGGCACCCTATACGGCCGAAAGAAGCTCGAAGATTTTTTCGACATGATGGACAAGAGTGAAGACGAGAAAGGCTAGTCAAGTAAAAGAAACATCAGCAGTAGAAAAGCATTGATTATCACCAGTTCTCCTCCAATTAATTGCGGCTAATTGCAAAATGAACCCCGACATCACTGGTCGTTCTAGTCCGCTCAGTGATTGCCCATGATGTTCCTTCCTACTCTGCCACTGCACTTGAATTTCTCTGTGTTAGCAGTACCTGGCTGTTTGTCCCGTCAACGCTTTCGACGGCCACCCTGCTGGGGCCAGTTTGTAGCAGCGCCATCCCGCCCTTCAGTCGCCTCGCCAACGGATATCGGATCAGCGATTGTAGACCTTCTTGCGTCATCGCGGCGATGACGTCATCGCTCGCCGCTGCATAAACGGGCGGAGCATGATGGCTGGCAAAATCGTTTTTCGAAACTTAAAGAAAACGGTTTTGTGGGTACGTGGTCAAAGAAATGAAAAGGAACCCTACTTTGCAAGGAACCACCATCTTTGGCTTCGACGACATTTTCTTCGTCCCACTTTATTTCTCTGTATGCATGTCAGAATTGACGCTCTACATCCTACATAGATCCCATTCCGTGCTCGCAGGAAGTTGGAAGGGATACACTCTCGCAACGACTGCGAAACGAAGTGAGCAGCCGCTACATCGGATGGCACTTAGGCAATCATTCAGATAGTCGCTCAATTTAGGTGACTTTTTTATTTGTGCTTTGCAGTTATTTCCTCTTTACCTAATCCATCCTGCAAACAGAACTTTCTTGGTGCCAAGCAAGAAGGTAAAAGCTCCCGTCATAAGCTGTCTTCCGTTACTTCTTCTGCAGTTCTGCCCAGAAACGGAAGGCATGATACATCCAGAAAGCCACTTTCATCTGTGCCCTCTTCCATACCTCCTCTGGTCCTTGAGCAAAAATTCTCTTACCCCATCTCAACACAGCAATCTTGCTCGCAACGTCGACGGCGGGCAGCGGCTCCCAGTCGGTTTCGGCGCCTTCCGCGGCCGCGGAGAGCGCGGTACGAGGCGACGCGGCTCCGAAGGCCGCGCGCGACTTCCACATGTGGACGACGCCATCAGTAGCGCCGACTGAGGAGCGAAGATGAGATTAGGCTTAACGTGAAGCTGAAAAGTGCTCATCTGGACTGAACGCAACGCAGTGCTTTTGGACGTAGGAAAAGGTCCAGGATGAGAAGAAGCAAATCCTGGATATGACAAAAGAAGGTAAAACAAGGGGAGTCATCTGAATAGGAAAAGATAGCAAAGAAAAGTTTTGAGAGGAGACAGAGATGGCAAGGAGGGTCTCGCTTAAACCGGGGAACAAAGGTAGGACATCGCATGCTTGCGGAATCGCAAAGCCTCCGTTTCATCCAAGGAATTCGACTGCCGCTCCTGATTGCTCGTCGGAGCAATTTTATAGTGCCCCCAATTTATTTTCCAAAGAGTTTTTGGACCGAACGCAGCTTGTTCCCAAACCGACTTACTAGTCAGAGTTTGCGTTCGCTCGTGGAACGCGACCGCCGCAATCTTGGCCGCCTCTTTCTTCCCCTTCTTCGACTTTTCCACGGCTGCCGGTAGCTCCAGAATCGAGTTTTCTTCGGTTTCGAGGTTGGTCAAGTGGACCGAGACGTCTTTGTCCGAGGCGAGCGCGAGCAGGTGCGCGCCGGCCCACGTGGCCTGGAGCGCGGTGACGTCAGGGGCCTTATTGAGCTTCACCTGCAGGAAGTCGCTTTAGAAGTCAAAACATCGGCTCAACGGTCACATCGATGCGAGACTTATAAGGACCCGACATCAGGCGCCGACTGCTTCGTTGAGCTCAAAGCAATGATCTCCGAAGGCCTGGTAGAGATTGGAAGAGGGAAGTTGATGGTTCGTTGGAGTTAGTGGCTTGAAAGAAGGCACGTCAAGATTGATGCCTTGCTACGCTTCTCGAAGAGATTCTTGGATTCTTGACTTAAATCCTTGGTTTTCGATACTTTGAGTCTTCCATGTCAAAATCCATTTTATGCAAAGAGCTACTTTGGACTTGTATGCAGGAGCATACACATCAAGAAAATGCAAGCCAAAGAAAGCCAAAGCGGATGCAGACTTCGAACGGCGTCCGGTATATCCAGTACAACAAGCTGGTGCAAGAATGCAAAGTTAGGGGCCGCCAATCTGGTTATCGCGTTCAGCACCAGTGGGTAACAATCACACCAGTATGTGTAACGAATTACGTCACGAAGTTTCGACCAGCTCGCTGCGACATAGACCGCCTGAAAAAATTATGCTGGAAGACTTGCTCACTTTCGTAGCTGGCGTCCATTTGCTGTCGTTGCGCACATGCACAGTAAGCGTAAAGCTGGCGGTGATGACGACCATTCCGTTCCGCTCTGGGTAGTAGAGCGCCGCCAGGACCTCGCAGTCGACCTCAAAGGCCGGAACGCGTTTACCCTGCAGTGTGAACAAGTACGACGTGTCAAAGAATGCATAACACGCCATCATGCAGAATGCTAACCACCTCGTGCTGAGTAAACCTTGCCAGAGGCGTGTCTCCTCTGTCGTATCCCTGATATTAAGTCTGTTGTGAGATTATTCCTCAGAAAAATGCTGCTTTTGAAGCGTCCTCGGCAAAATTTCAGAGTGAAAGTTCTCAAAGCTTCGTTTCCGTCCCCTTCCAGCATAGGAACGGGACGGAACGCTTCGTACGCTTGCAATGGTCAAGACGGCGATCAAATGGGAATCTAGTACCTCAAGGTTGGCGAATCCAGCTTCACCTGCCCATTCACGAAGCGACTTGCAACTCATGCCCAGTCAACCATTCCGGAGTTTCCCTGTGTTGCCAAGAAAGACAATTTGATACAGTCCAAAGCTCGACAGCCTAAAATTGAGGGCGCCCTGTGACCAACGCCTCTTACCCGGTCGTCTGCATGGCAGATTGCGCCCTTTCCAGGTGAGGAGGCAGCATAGTAGAAGGGAGGGCACGGCGGGGGAAGGTTGGGATCCCTGAACCAACGGTCGATGGTTCAGAGCTTTGAGACGAGTGTTCTGGCGACTAGTTTGCCACGCCTTTGAGGTAACATCAGTTGAGCGTAATGCGCAATCTCTTAAAACTCACTTTCAACCGACGATGCGGCAACTTATCCAGTCCAACTTTGAGAAACTTGCTATCGGTCTTACCCAACCTGCACCTCTGACTTTAGGGAACGAGATCAAGCGTTCTGGTAGTGACTGTCGGGTAAGTATGAAGAACCCGCTTGTCTTCCAGGATTATGGGGGCATTCAACCCAAGCTCAAGTGAGCGCTTCTGGTGGTCTAGTGCACTTACACAAAATCTGCAGGGGGTGCTGCACAGGTGTCAAAGCGTATATGGCTGATCACAGCGTCCTGCTTCTCTGCGTATCTGGAGACAGCGGTGGGCTTGCCCCTCAGATCCATCTTCCAGACCACCAGCTTCCCTTCCTGCAAGAAGATTCAGCCGACTTTCAGCGATCATTTCCTATGTTGCGCTGTTGAGAGCCTCCTGGTGGAACGTGGGTGTGTTTCGTGCTTGCATTAGTAGCCAGATTTCATTGAGAACGCCTTCCCCAATGGTTCTATTTGCAGGAAGCTTGACAACCACAACACGACTGATTGCTGATGCTGACTTCCTCTGAACTGCGGTTGCGCCGGACAAGTAACGTTTTCGTTTTCCTCACCTGGTCTCCAGTGACTAGGCGCGTCCCCTCTGCATTCCATGCCATGCAGCTGACTGGCCTTTTGTGGCCGCTGGTGTCATCTGCCAGCTTTCTGTCCTGCTCCTTCCACAGAGACACTCCGCCTGAAGAAGCGAGTTGGAGAACCAGATTGGCAATCATATTATTGCGTGGTCATACGTTATATATGTGCCAGGAAAATAGATGAACAAGGGAGCATTCAAGTAGTTTCGTCTCAGTAATGCGGACTTCTACAGGCCTGATCTCAGGCAACTCTGTCTTACTGCCAGAAGCAAGAAGATTTTGCTGTTCTTCACCAGTGAAAAGCTGTCCAAGAAAGATTGATTGCAAGGACGCCGTTGAAAAACCGCTTACCATCTTTCCAAGCAATGGCCAAGACTCTCTGCTTCGGATGCCATTCCAGCGTGCAAGCGTCCTTCTCTCTGACATTCTTTATCATGCAGTCCTGTAGATCGGGCATAGCTGCGGAACCCTGCAGATAAGAGACGGCAGGTAAACAACTAGTTTGTCGGATAAAAGAACATATGCACATTCTCTGCTGCCGGTGATGGCAGCATTGTGGCCGCCTGTTCCTGAGCTCTGAGTGATACCTCATAGATACGAGCCACAGATATGTACCTTTACTATTCTGAGAGTGTTCGTGCTGGTGGTGGTGGTTTCTGCGCACATATCCAAGTCAAAAGGAAATGCCAAATTTGTACCCTTTTAGAGTCCTTGACGACATGCAAACCTCTCACCGCATCGTCTAAATGTACATTGTTTCATGGTACACTTCTCGCTACTTCATTTCATTGGTCATGTAGCGATCAGAGTGCCACAGCTAGCCCAACTTCCTCGTATGCTTGCCAATGTAACCCCAAGAGATTCGCACTTTTGATGAGCCCCCAGAAAGGTTCAGGTAAATCCAAGCATTACACCAGCTCATCATGAGACGCCAGTTACTTCAATCAACAAGAACCGAAGGGTACCTCTCACAAGAGCTAGCTCAAGAAACTGACCTCTTGGTTCAGCAGGCACACATGCCCTCCAGCTACAGCCACAGCTAATGTCGGTTCCCCTGTACATGACCATGCTGTTGCTAAGATTGGCCCCGCAATGGAGGGCGGAAGCTGAGCCCTATGCCTGTGAAAGGTTGCCATACTTATCACCTGCTACAGCCTGAAAACTTCACTTGCATTCTGTTGTTCTGTCCAGCCCAGAAACTGCATGATGCAGGACTGACTCTTATTTTAGCCACAATTGGCATTGGCTCCAGAGCCCTTGCAGATAACCTTTTTCTCAGCTCTGTTTCCTCGTCAAGTCGCCAAGTTCCACTTCCGTTCAACCTGGCACCGGGCCATGCCACTGCCGCCATGGATTTTGAAGCTTGATCTCCTTTATCTCCTCCCCTAGTTTCTCTTTGCGCTTGATTTGCCGCGCCGCACTGCAGCTTGCTGACTAGGTAGTCGAACTTGGTCGAACTTGCTCAGGCTGTAGCCTTACGAAGCAGAGCTGCGGGGGAGCTGAGCTGCGCTGCTCTGTCACTGTGCTGATATGTTCGTGGCGCGAGGACACTTGAGAACGCGCGCGCGAAGAAAGGGTCCATTCGGCGGTGCGGACGCCGGCGGTCGGTCCGACTGTTGAGAATCAGATCATTTCTCTGTGCGGGCCAGACGTCCGCAGCCCTGTACTAGTAGTACTACTACTACTAGCACCTAGCTGGAGCCGCCTCCGACGAAGCAAGCTGACAAACCTCTCATACAAAGCAGAATGGCTGCCGACAAGGTGCTTCTATCGTCTGGAGGACGAGCTATCTTAGAGAGGGTGTCGTCTGGGCAGCATGCTTCCTGCAGCTCCGAAGCCCGCATGTCCCGCTTTCCTCTGGCAGAGTACACATGTTGCTTGAGAGTTTTTCAAAAGAAGGTCGCAGGACCGGCGTCAAAACACAGTCAGGGTATTCCTTGTGGCAGCAGAGAGTCTTCATTTATTGCGAATGGTGATTTCTGTAGCATTTTTCCATCGGGAGGAGAAAGAGGAAGGCCCAGTGTTCAATTTCCGCAGCGGAAGGGTAATGCCACCACCACTAAAGCTGGATACTTTGGCGAGTTTGTGGACGACAATGAGAAGCAGCGGAAGATCCAGGCAAAGCGGCGGTTCCTAGTCCAAAGTAGCGACCATATAGATGGGGAGAGTCCTCTTCAGGAGCTGGTTTCTGAAGCCAGACACCAGTGCAATCAAGCAGTGGTTTTGCCAGTAAAGCGCAGAATAGAAAGGCTGGGGAATTGGTGGAACAGCACGCTTCTGGGGCGGCTGGGCAGAGTGTACAATGAGCGGCGCGCTCTGTCTGTGAAACTCTACAGGAGGTGGCCTGTTCTTCTCCTGTTCGTAATCTTGTGAGTAACCACTCTCTATCCTCAAGTTAAGTTTGGTGCACAATAAGTTTGTATTGTCATGGTTTGAATTGGAGAAAGTAACGTCTATGACAGCTTCAGAAGAAATCTCTAGCCTTCTGCAGTATACTAGATCAGCTCCAGAATTTTTGTTATGCTAATCTAAGCTGTTGTAGGCTGTGGGTGAACAATTATCTTGTTATAGCAGCGCCGAGAAATGAATGTCTGTGACAGCTCCACTAGTGATGTCTAGCCTTTTGCAGTAGGATGAATCAAGCCCAGGGATCAAGAATGTTTCGTTGTGCCAAGAAAGGAAGTTGTAGGCTGTGGGAAAACAACTATCTTGTCATAGCAGCGTCAAGTAACATCGTCAAGATTACAGTATGGCCCCACTTGGCTTTTATAATCACAGCTGAGAGTGCCTGGTGCTCATCTTGATGTAGACCGTTTGCTCTGTTCGCAGCCAGGGCAGCATGATTGGCACCGAGCTGATCTTTAAATACTTCAAAGTGGGGGGCCTTCTAAGGCCACTAGCAGTGCTAGCGGTTTCTTTCTTTACTGGTCCCCCTTTTATTGAAGCCTTCTTACCGGGGATCATAAAGAAGAGGGACTATGACCCGCCCAATCCAAAAGAAGATGCAGTTTTTGATGATGAGCCAGTGCCAAAGTGGAGGCCGCCGGAAGAAGTAGCGGCGGAGGAGTTTTTGCGCCCTATAGAGGAAAGCTAAGACGAGTCTAATGGACCTTTTCAAAGCAATCAGTGAATTCATCATTGAAACGACTCAGAATGATGTATCTGGCACATATAACACTGTTCTGCAACCTGCCCAATAACTTGGTAATCATTTTGAACGCACTGTGCCCCAATGGAAGATTGAGAGATGCTCAAATCCATCAACAGGCGTTCCAGGACATGGAGTCTGGTTCGAATATGTACCATCTTTCTCCAAGTCCAGAAAGAGCCAGTGGAAGGAGATTGCTTCGTATCGAAGATATAAAAATGGAGCTGAAATGCGAGCTTTATCATCCAAGCGAGCTTATCTGACCAAATGAATCAGTTGACGTTGTAATTCTCCATCGGACGATCTTTGACTGGTCATGAGTGCACTGACCTGTGATGACGGTCCTGTTTTCGATTGCTCTCTGAGACGCACAGTTTATAAATTTGCAACTCTAGTTATTGCTTGTAATCGAATGATAACGATCCAGAATTGTTCTTGTTCTCAACAAGCGCATGTGTCACACATGTAATTGGGCCTCAAATTCGATGGAAATGTCAAGTTCTGGCAAGTACGTACCCTAGGCGCAAGGGAACTGGCTACATGCCAAACCCCATGCGATGGGCACTCGATTGATCTTTCAATCGTGTCATGCCAGTATGGATCGAGTCCTAAT